GGTCGCCCAGGATGCTGCCTTATATACATGAGGGAAACCCCCAGGGACCGGTAATGGACCCCTGGTACCTAGCTGGGTAAGGATTACTAAGTATCATGTGCTCGATGATGTCATATATGATGTCATAGTCTGGCCCTGCCCTGCCCTGGGCCTAGGGTCCAGAATTGACCGGCCTATGGCCTAGTGCCTGAGCCTAGCTCCTACCTATGATGTCAGAATGATGTCATGGTCCAGAAGGAGTCTGGTTTCTATCTAGAAAAGGTCCGGCATCAGAGTCCAGCCTGATGTGTCCAGAACAAGATCATGTGTCGCTTATTTAAGCGGATAACCCCTTAGATATGCAGCTGTACCCATATGCGGACAGATAAGTATGGATAAGTCCCTATACCCTTTAATATGTCCGCAGAAATAGCGGAAAAATTAGGTAAAATTAGGGAAACTGTGACACCTGGCTACATGCTTACAGTGAACTCATTGGCCTCGCGGATGTGAGTATTTATTTCATCGTGCTTTCATCATTACTCAATCTCGAGGAAGGCATTACTGGAGACCACACATCCTAACAGCGAGAAACGCGTGATAGGCTTGGGGCGCATCGCATACACCATAGCTTGGAACTTGGTCGAGCAGTATTACCTTGACGTGACGTCATACGTCGCGAACGATCCTCGAATCGTGGAGGGACTCCCCACCGTCGTGTCTGTCAATGGAGAACCAGATAGGGACGACCTCGCCTTGTGGAATGCGCAACAGGGTGGTATCGCGATGCTGGATGACCTCGACAGAGCGCTCTCCCAGGCCGTCACGCGCTGGCGCAAGGAGAGCCGCGGCACGCCAAAAGTCATAGAGGACAAAGAGGACATACTGGAAGAAGTGGAGGAGGAGATAAGAGAGCTGACGGGATTTGGCGGGCAGGCCGCGCATGGAAACGAGATATTCATCCGCAGCAAAACCGCCTTCAGGAAGTGGGTGAACAACGAGCCGATTCCAAAGGACAGCCAGAAGTTCTTCTACGGTATCTAAGGCGCAATACAACTGTGTTCACCTTCAATGTATGTTTTCTGTACATTCAATCGGAATGGATATCTGACGCCCGCATCCTTCTATTACGGTTTTCGATCGAAATCGCCATGCGACTACAGTACCAGAGTACTCTTGAGGGAGGTGAGCACAGCGATCCGATCAGCAAGTCTCAGCTGTGGCATTCTGAGCCACCCGAGCCTAGCATCGTGGTCAATAAACAGCTAAGTATGCTGTTGCTTCGGCGAAGATCTCGGGCCCGAACCCATTGGTGCGTTGAGCGAGTAGGGGTTATCCAGGCCCATAGACTAGTTCAATATCAGCCGGCTGAGCCGTCTGAAATATACAGGTCACCCGATACTGGCAGATTTCAGGGATAATGATAAGTGTGGACCTCTTGCCAAACTGTCTTGGCATGGATCATGCTGAGGATCCTTCGAACAGAATAGGGGCTCTGGGTAAGTCATCCGTCCTCAAAATGTAAAGTATCGGAGCTCGTGATACTTCGATATCACAATAGTTCTCGGAGGCTGACGCATTTTGATACGCGTGATGCCGGTGCATTTTTTGAGACCAAATCAGATGGAGGCATGTCTGATCTACACTCCCAGGCGCATCAAACATAGTCCCGACCCTCGAGATGATGTACTGTGTCGTACGCTTAGTGAAACTCGGCGAGGCGGTCAACAGCCGAGGTGTACTCCGACTATATATACCACTTATTCACCGGTCATTGGTGACCACTGTCTAGTATGTCCGACATGACGACACCTCCACTGGACGGTTCGGTTCAAGTGTTACCGGGATTTCTCGACTTTCATGCCAGACAACATCCTCGGCAGCCACTTTACGTGTTTTCTGCATCAGACAATCCTCACGGCGACCTGTCAAATATATCATATCAGGACTTCAGTGATGCTACACACCGCATTGCTCACTATTTGCGTCCGATACCAGGCGAAGACCTTGACCGTCGAGTCCTCGCGTGCCTTTTGCATACTGATGCCGTCTTCTACCACGCTGTTACTGTGGGCGCCATTCGCGCGGGATTGATTCCCTTCCCTATAGCGCCTGGTACCTCTCCTGCTGCCATTGCCAGAATGCTGGAGCGCACAAATACGCATCGCATTATCTCCCAGCCTCACTTTGCTTCGTTGGTGCGCGACGTTCAGCGCGTTCTCCCCGACGACTATGATCTCCACGTGGACCCGTTACCCTCCTTTACGGAAGTCTTCCAGAGCTTCGGCGATCTCCTCGATGCGAAGACGAATGGCATTGAGCTATACCCTCCAGCTGACTACCCAATTGACTCCGAAGACGTTATCCTGTATCTGCATTCATCAGGCTCGACAGGCTTTCCGAAGCCCATTCCGCAAACTGGTGCGACCCTCCTGAATTGGATACTGTCGCCGACGAACAGGGAACCTGCAGAATTGGGCTACATCTGGGGTCCAATGATGTTGCCGCCGTTCCATACCCTCGGCATCAGTACACAACTTGTGTATCCACTTGGTTCGGCCAAGCCCGCAGTTTTGTTCACCCCACGCGCGCATCTTGGCGTAGCGCCATTGATACCTACACCAGAACTTACGCTTGATGCCGTGCGCCAGACGAAGGTAGACGTACTGGTTGTAGTACCCTCGGTTTTAGGAGTGAGTTTTGCTGGTTCGTGCTTTCGTGGTGGAATCTGACATCGTGTCCTCAAGGCGTGGGTTCAAGACAAGGAAAGTATGGTTGTGCTGAATACGATCAAAGCTGTGGTAAGCACGCTTGCTTGAGGTATACACAGGTCTGTGATATTCCTTGTCAGATTTACTGCGGCGGGCCCCTATCGCCTGCCACCGGCGACAGACTCGTTGCTGCTGGTGTCCGCCTCTATTGCGTGTACGGAGGTACCGAGTTTGGCGGCGTAACACATATCCTTGACGCCGACTATGATCATATCGGAGTCGCACCCAAATCTCCGGATGAGTGGCAATGGATGCGTTTCTCTGATAGATGCAGTGTGCGCTGGGTACCTCAGGACGACGGAACTTATGAATGTTGCTTCATGGTAGGTTTTCCCGACCATGCCTGTGACACAGCCTGATCCACTTTCATTTTCACGGCGCAGGCAAGTCAGACACATCGTCCAGCTATAGAGAACATGGCGGATGGCGAACATGGTTATGCGACTTCTGATCTCTTCATACCACATCCCGTGAAGCCTGGCCTTTGGCGGATGTAAGTTTCCGTCACTTTTGGCGCTGCATCATGTCTACGCAGTACCTGATCTTCTGACGATTGCGTAGAGTGAGCAGATCGGATGATGTGATCACGCTCTCGACCGGTACGTCGTATTGTCCGAATACATTCCCCGATTCTCACACAATGAAAGGGGAGAAGATTGTCCCTATTCAGCAGCAGGACATAGTATCAGCTCATCCGCTCGTGAAAGGCAACATAATGTTTGGTCGCGGTCGCGAACAAGTTGGCATCCTTATCGAGCCGCGTCCCGACCATACTATCATACCAGGGCATGATCATGTACTCGCGGAATTCCGCAATATGCTCTGGTATACCCTAATAGCGTCTTGCCGCTGCTGTCACTGATGTACATGTTTGTCCAGGCCTCAGATCGAAGAAGCGAATCGAATCGCACCCGCACATGCGCGCATTTACAAGGAGATGATTCTGGTGACTGATTCTGCCCGGCCTCTTATTCGCGCAGCCAAAGGAACCATCGTAGTCAAGCAGTCCCTCGCACTATATGAAGAAGATATCAACAATCTGTCTGTTGCTTCGCGTTGTTATCTTCGTCGCGAGCGCTGATGATCACCCACGCCAGGTATTCGAGAATAAGGGATAATTTGAATTTGCACGACATAGAATTACCCCATTCGTGGTCTGTTTCAGATCTACAGGAGTGGTTATCGAGGGCTGTTACAGCCATCTCCATCGGGAAGACCTTGGATATTACTGATGATTTCTTTGAGCGAGGTTTCGATAGGTAAGCGTTCGCATACGAGCTGGTGCTAAAGATGTGCACTGAGTCAATTCCAATGGCGTGTAGCTTGTCTGCGACTTTACTGAGGAATCATATAATGGCTGCGCTGCGGGCTTCCTCAGACTCACAGATCAAGAGCGCAGCACGCGACGTGCAGCCTAATTTCGTATTCACCCATCCTACAATCCTGTTGCTTGCCACCGCAATTTCAGCCCTAGCGAATCCGAACCGCGCCGCCCCAGCCGCGCGCTCCCCTGTCAATCAAATTGAGACTATGATCGAAAAGTATACTGCGTCGTTGACGCCGGTGTCTGCATCTCAGGCGGAGCAGCAAACGGCCGCTGCGGTGGTCCTCATAACGGGGTCGACGGGCGCTCTGGGCTCATACATGGTTGCCGAACTGCTCGCTGATATACGCGTCGCTCGAGTGTATGCCTTAAATCGTGGCACCTCTCTGCAAGAGCGACAAGCAGCAGCTTTCAAAGCGGCGGGATTTTCTGCGAACATAATGTCCGACGTCCGGCTCAAGCTGTTGAGTGGCGATATGACGAGGGACGATTTTGGCCTAGAAGCAAAGAACTTGGATGAAGTAACGTACTTCGTTTTGCGACAGAGTTGTATGGCAACTGACCGCCATATAGCTGCGCACGTCCGTGACTCATGTCATCCACAATGCATGGCGGGTGGACTTCAACCTCGCCCTCGCATCTTTTGAGCCACAAATCGGAGCGACAATGAAGCTGCTAAATCTCGTACCACGCGCTCGCTTCTCGTTCGTATCCTCTATGTCAGCCGCACAGAGCTGGGATACCACTGAGCGTGGACTGTATGTTCCTGAGGAACCGCTGCATGATCCATCGATTGCCGTCGGCACTGGCTACGGCATGTCGAAGTTTGTAGTCGAAGAGGTGCTATAACTGCTTGGCTTAGCGGACACTTGTGCTGACACCTATGCAAGGTCCTAGCCAATGCACGCAAGTTAGGTTACTCCACCACGAGTCTCCGAGTCGGCCAGATATGCGGATCCAGACGCAATGGTAGTTGGAACACATCGGAGTGGGTTCCGAGCCTGGTCAAGTCGAGTATCTCTCTTGGGTGTCTACCAGATGGCAACGGGGTAATATCTCAGCATCCTTCTCGCGATACTCCACTGACGACATACCGGGTTAGGTGGTTTCGTGGATCCCGATAGAAGCTGTTGCACGTGCGGCTGTGGACATATCACTATCAGTGAACGCACCCACCTTGGTAAACATTGTCCATCCGCATCCTACACCTGCGCGGCATGTATTTGGCGCGATCAAGGAAGCATTGGAATCAGACGTCTCGTTGTCCGTCGTCCCGATACAAGAGTGGGTGGATAAACTGGAAGTCATTGCACAAGGCGCTTCGGAGAGTGAACTGTCTACAATAGTAAGTTGGCGTGAAGATATACAACAGGCGTTGTTGCTGATATGTACGATGACCTTCCAGCCCGCGATCAAGCTGCTTGATTTCTTCCGCAGTATTGCTACACTTACCGGACGAATGCAAGATACATACGCTGCCAATGCAGAGATGGGTGGGTTACCGTTGTACGAGACGACGAAGGCGCGAGCACTCTGCTCCGCGCTAAACGAGCTTTGTCCCCTAGCAGAAGAAGACGCCCAGAAGTGGGTCTTGTTTTGGAGAGAATGGCGGTTCATCCCATGATAGTTGTTCGGAAGCAGCGTTAATTTGAATGCTTCATCGTGCTTATTCACCGTAGACTTTGCCCATATACTGCATAACACGTGTAAAGGCTATGTATGTGTCATTTACGCCCTAGTAAAGTAGACGTGCCATGCCCATGTACTTATTTGGAGACAATAGCGCTATGGCAGGAAATGAAATTGAGATGATCAGAAATCTGGAGCATAAAAAATGGATGCGTATGATTTGGGACTACGACTGCCAAAGTGACCATCTTACCAATTACATCCCGGTGGTCTTGGCCCTCTCGTCAAGCGGTCTGGAAACCAAGAGCTTCCCAGTACAACATCGATGCCGGGAACTCTTCAACGTACTCCAACACACGTTCTCGCGCGTCATCAATGAAGTCCTCTGGTACCCATTGCAAGCTCCTGCTCCCTATGTATGTGCGCCGATCGCAGGTAATCTCTAGGAGCTCGTCAATATCCTGCACGTCGACATATTGCTTCTCCTGCATATCTCTCCGGTCGGAATCCCGATGATCTGTCCATCCTTGCAGCTTGAGTAAGAGAAGTGGGAGAAGCGGCATGACGGGGAGGTGTTGCATCTTCTTAATTTGTGCGCTGGGCACATCCGGGATATTCAAGCATCCCGGGAGCAGGATGTCGACTTTACAGGCCCGTGCGGTGCCACGACGGCCTGGCGTCAGTGAACACCAGAGTACTTCATATGTGGCTCGGCGATTACGAGACGAAACGAGGTAGAAGTCCTCGTCTTCTTCCACAAGCAAGGTTTTTAGATCCTCAGCGTCTACATTGTCGGCGAAGACGACGAGATCCACGTCCTATACATACGATGAAGATATCTGAATGCTGTCTGAGAGGCTGAGAGCAACTCACGTTGGGACATCTAGTTGTGCCGTACAACACGCACCCTGCGCTTCCGAAGAGACAACATTCATACTCGTTGCTGTTGAATATGGACACTGCACGATGTGCAACATCGTAGATCTCTTCCAGAGTGGGCGGACGAGCCATAGCGACGCCTGAAGATGTGCTGCGCTGGTTAAGCCTGCCGCGCCATGCAACGGGCGGCGTGAACGACTCTCACAGTATTGACACCAATGGCCGAGTGAGCACAATGGAGTTAACCTGGGGCACATCGGCTTAGTAAGCATAATCAAAGAGTAATACGCGCTAGATACATCTTTGTGCATTCCTAGTCGCGTGGGGCTAACGGACGCCTATACAGTATACATCTCTGTATCGTACAATACCTTGCAGCTACAGCACAACACATGCACTCGAACGGGTCTGCACCCAGTCATCAGGTCATCATGATCTCCACTCTTGCTTCTGATGCTTTCTCCAATACTGAATGGATATCTTTCTCCGATACTGACTGGATATCTTTCTCCTTGCCTTGCTGAGCCTCAATGATCGGCATGATTTCCTGCGCAAGATCCTTGTGGTCGAAAAGGGCGGCCGTCTCCTCCAGCGTGCGATTCTTCGTCTCCACGAGCATGAAGTAGATGAAAACAAACTCGAAGGCAATCCAACAGCAATAGAAGATCTGTGTGTATCAGATATCAGACTGATGGACTAGAAACGTGAACGTAGACAAGAAGCTTACATAGTACTTCCACGCAAGGCGCTGGAGAGCAACAGGGTTGACGTACTGATTGAACACTAGTGCGAGCGAGACCCCAACGCTATACACCGTGAGACCCTTTGCCCGCAACGAATGGGGTAGGATCTCGCATGTGTACGTCACAATGAGAGGTGTATATGCCAAACTGTTGACAGGGCGTAACTGATCAGCTACTCACTCGCGACCGGCAGAAGCAACACTTACTCATAAAAGGCATAATAGAGGAAGATGAACGCAATCACCGAATGGGCCGCAGCGGGTTGTTGGTGCAATGCGTATTGCGCCGAACAAATCGTTTGAAGAGTGAAGAACACGAGGCTGCCTCCCGTTGCCCAAAGGAAAAGGGGACGACGGCCGATGCGATCTACGAGGAATGAGGCTGATACAGATATGATGAGGTTCCAAATTGCGAGGATCCTGTGAACACGTCAGAGACCGAAGGACAAGCTGGCGGGAAACCGACCCTGTGATGAGTAGCTGCGTCGAAGTACTCGTAATGCCGATAGTATCAAAGACCTTGTTCAGGTAATACGATACAAGTCCATTCCCGGACCACTGCGAGAACCAGCCAATTGCTATGGCTATGATCATCCGCTTCCTGTTACCCGGCGTGGAATACAGAGCCTTCCATCCAACATCGCTGTTCACTGTGCCATTCTATCAGAAAACGTCAGAGTGTGTGAAAATATATGCGGAAGCACCAGTTCGGTCGAAGTCAATCGCAGCCTTGATCTCGGCGAACTCGAATTGCACAAGAGGATCCTGCTCGTTGCCATCAGCATGGTAATATGCCAAGATTTTCAGGCCTTCCGCATCCTTCCCATTGGAAATTAGCCAACGCGGGCTTTCCGGGGCAAGAAGTACGAAAAAGAATTGGAGAATCGACGGGATACCCTGGATGATGGAAGGGATGCGCCACGACCATTCATTCGGGATGTAGGCAGTCCCATATGTCGTCCATGACGCACTATATGCATATCAGAAACGAGCATCCAGCCATCGTGATCGCACGTACATGACATTACCCGAATACCAAAGCGAGTTGTACACAGAGGTCAGAGGTGCGCGGTAGGTCGGATATGAGATCTCAGTGACCAGCATTGGCGCTGCATTCGCTGCACAGGATATTAGTAAGTCCTCAGATGGCTATTACTCGATATCAGACCTGCAAAGCACACCCCAAAACCAATCAGGAAGCTATAGCAGCATGTCAGACGACACTTAGGTCACGTTACACTCCGCTCACCGTCCAGCAATGAACATCCCTATGTTCTGCGCTGCAGACTGGAGCGCCACGCCCACCAATGTGAATACTGCGCCGACAAAGATTGTGCGCCGACGACCTATTCCGTCCGACAAGTAGGGCGCAAACGGATAGGCGGCCAGAGAACCAATGTTCTGGAGTATCCCTCAATCTCTTGTATCGTGATATCTTGTAGAAATGAACTTAACTTGCATAGCGCTGAGCGCGCCCAGGAGGGACCCCGATGGACTGTTGAAGTAGCCCTCCCATTGCCAGAGGGACTGAAAGTCGTTCATTAGACTCCCGTCAAACCCATTGGCTGAAGATATGATGATGCTGAGACGAGCCCCTCATGAGTGTTCCGAAGCTATCCAAAGCCGCATCGCGCCAAACGTACAAGAGGACGATCCAAGCATGCAGATTAATGAGTCTTCGAGAAGAGACGCAGTTCAATAGATGATCACGCTGAATGATACCGAGCCACGCACCGCCGATTGTTGTACCACTTCCTATTCGGGTCCAGGAGGTGCGCGACGCCCGTCGTCGCCTTTGCCGTAACCGTGGCGCCGACTGCCATGCTGAATCTGCGCAATAAACCTCGACGAGAAGACGGAGATTCCAGACGTGGGGCAGTAGTCACACGCCTCGACACGACAAAACGACTATATAATATCTTTGCTCAAATGACGGTCGAGACGAAGGCAGCTGATCCAGGGAGCCTCATTTCTCCAGGGAATCGCCATGTACATGACCTCTCCACAATTCCCCAGATTTACCGCCGCCAATACAGATAGCGATTTGCGGAACAAGAAGAGCTCGTCAGAGGGACAGTGCCTGGCCGAACATTTGTTTTGATCCCTGTCAGCTGCCAGTATGGGTCTCGTGGATGCCACTTCGTTGTGAACGCTCATAACACCAGCTGGTAAACCGGTCTGTATTTGGTGTATGCAACAGGAGAGATATGCACGCACATATCTGCGCTGCAAATCACAAGCTAGCAACGTCGCTTGTAGGTTGGCATGCTTGATGCAGTCAGGGCTGAGAAGTCATCCGCGGAACACCGAAGATATATAGCACTCCGTAGTCTTCCCAGATTCACGGTCCGTCGGCCGCAGCGCGCGTTGAGAAGGGTGGAGAACGGCCAATTCAGATGCGCCTCGGTGAGACCCCGAACGAGACGGAACGGGATATACCGCCTTGCAGCTTCATCAATGCGCCTGGTCAATGTCAACAACGCTGATGGCGGGAAAGACCGACTTTACTGAGATGGCTTTAGCGACAACAGTTGAGAAGAGACGTACCGCAGCGAAGGGATTGCATGGTCAGATGACCCTGAAGATGGGTCACATAAAGGCGCCTTGTGGTCGATCTGGATTCTGTTGGGCTATGCGCCTGACCTATGCTCACGTTTACAGTGTAACGGAAGAACCGCGGGATTGTATCAAGGACCACCTTGCAGCATGGCAAAAAGCGTGACAATGATAAGACGTTAGTGCGAGTAAGAGGCATTCCCTCGACTCACACAGCATAGGCTAAAAACACAGACTCGAACGGACGAATGGCACGGCAAGCTAAACAGACGTCCCCTCCCCGGGAGTTCATCCACAGGAAAGTCCCGTACACGGTCCTGCTCTTCCACTACGCCACGAGGGGCGAAGCGAGCACGAGTAGGCTATTAATACTCATAGCAAAGAATGTAGACTCTTCAGTCGTACGGTCGTTTGGACGTGCGGACGGGAATCAGCTACGAGCACGGGATCCATCATATACTGCACTGGGAATACGAAGCGGAGAGTTTCACAAGAAAACAAAAGTCGCACCAAAGCGGATTACTGATGTTCAACAAGATGCGTGTCGATGACATGCGCTCCGCGAAACCTGTTCCGCGTGAACAATCAATAGAGGTGACGGTGACAATGCTTTTGCCTTCCAATAGTAAAAAGATTACGAAGAGAAGGGCGGTGAGAGTACGAGAGAGCCGGGTACAACAAAGACACTCAGATCATTCGAGGGCGTAGGAACATCGACGCCCGCTGGAGACGAGCACGGTTTTGCAAACGCACCCGTGCAACATGCCGAGCGGAGCTTCAACGACAGTCTCGCACAGCCACAGGAGTGACACGATCTCAGGCCTCATCCATCGTGCTCGTCTACACGTCCATCGCACCTTCCGTTATCCGCCCAACTACGGTACTGCTACCAGCCATACTGTCTCACTCGGCGATAAGACTATGTTCTAGGCATTACAATGTCCTTATATCTGGGGATTCTTTATCGGGGCGCTTCGGAACGTAGTCAGAGAAGTCCGTGTACTCGTATTGATTTGGATCTTGCTCGAGGATGTGCGGGATCAATTGGAACCCTGACTCATTGAACCCCGTTCATATTACTTTATCTGTTCGACATTATCTGTACGCAACATCTCAGCACCAATTCACTTCAGTTCACTCTATTAACGCTGTGAATTGTTCGTCTACTGGGTAGCGCCATCACTATCTTCCGAGGACATGTGCGCTCGAATGTGCGCGGTTGAGTACATAATAGCCTTATCTACTCTCCATCTATTGTCTGACAACCAACTCCGCTGTGGCGTGTAGCTTACTGTGTCTCAGAGGATTCTAGCAAGATCAGCCCCCGGACGGTACCGGCCGCAGAGTCATAGCTGTGCTTGAAGCTTGACAGTTGGTCGTCTCTGGTATACGTACATAATCTTCTTCCTTCCAACCACCATGGACAATGCTCGTAGGTTACGCAATCAGATTCGATTCGCACTCGCGAATTCTACCCCTGGCCTGCCCGCTGGTATGGTTGGCGCAGGAGCGAACCCAGCGACATACTTGGCATTCCCCACATCTCCTGGCGAAGTAGTTGAGTACGATCCGGGAAGTGAGGATGTTTCAATTCCGGCCGATGAGGTCGTTCCCGACGCCGTACTCGGATCTATTCTGGAAGTCAAACATCTGCACGAAATCTATGACCAGCTGAAGAACGAGTACATCATCAAGCCAGCGCCTCCGAATGAAATTGATGCCGATGACAAGCGTGATCGATCTAAATACGCAGTGTATGCGTTCACAGTTATACGGAGGTTCATTCCTGTGGGAAATTTCGGGCAACTCAATGCGAAGACTTATAACGTGGTCACTCTACTGGAAATGCACAGCGTGCCTCTTGTAGAGGTGGGTAAGGAAGTCATTGGGCAGGTGCAAGGCATCTCGTGGACAGCGAAGCCTCTGCGGGTAGGTCGTCATTCGGATTCAGTAAACTAGTAACGGTTAAGCATGTCGACAGGTCAACCCGCAAATCCTCCTTGCATGGCTTCCCGAACTGAAGATGCATGTACAAAACCTCACAACGGCGACAGAAGGCGAAGCAGACGATTCTCCCGATCGCCTACAGCTCAATCACTTGAACCATCTCCTAGCATACCTGACAACGACTCATGAGGCATCGCTGCACACTCTCTCCTCTCTCCTCGCCCACAATGAAATAACGTTTGACCTTCTCTGGGCGCTATACGTCCCCGGAAAGACTATCTTGTACACTATGTGCCCCGTCACAGGGGAGCCACGCGCAGTCAAACTTATGCATGCCGAGCTTTTCCAGAAGGTCGACCCGCAGAGCGCAGTCCCTGCAGCACACGATCCGACTGGGTTGATGTCCGGCAGGCCGGAGTCGGACCAGCGTACACAGTACATGTGGCGCCTCGTGGTGGAATATGTTGAGGCAGATGTTGCAGAGCTTGGGGAACGTGGGGAGACGCCATCTGGACACACATTCGGCTACGCGGGCCTCGGCGTGGTACTGGACATCGCCACATTTACGGGCGCGAAGAAGATCGCACGACTTCCAACGTATCCGATCCAGTACTATGCGGGTCCAGGCGGAGTGGATGGGTTGAAGGAGCGTCTTATCAGGCGTGGCAAGAAATGGGCTGCGATCGCTGGGGGTGTGAACCACCTTGCGTATCGCGGTATTGCGTGGCGGTGGCACCAGAAGTCATATGTGAAGCATAGTGTAAGTGGCGGGCTTGGCCTCGTGCACACGCGATTGCTTCCTGTTTCCTTGTATCTTTGCGCTAATCTGAACTTGTATCTCCGCACCTAGGTCGCATCTCGTGTCGTGATTGATCGAAGTGAGTGTCAGCGCCTCTGAGTTGCTAGAAACAACACGACGATATGTCATACAGAAACCTTCGTGGATACAGCCCCGAACTACCCCCGATTCCCTCAAGTCACGAAAACCCTATCTGGGCAGGACATTGACAGGCACGCGCTCCGCTATGGGGCTATCGCAGAGGAATCGCTTGACTCACGTGAACTCACCGAGGAAAAGCTCATACTTACCTCTCCAATCGTGTATGGGTTCAGCCTGTCTGACAAGTATTGGTGTGAGTATGCAACTTTAAGGGGGGATGTGCACTAATATCATCATGTGTGCGCTAGTAGAATTCGCAGTTGAGCATGTGGATCCATTTGAATGGAACGACGAAGCCTTCGCACAGCTTGTCATCCCACCACAGCATAAGCTCGTGCTACAAACCCTCATTGAGTCATACAACTCCGGGGCTACTGCTAAGTTTGACGACTTCATATCTGGGAAGGGGCTTGGCCTCGTCATCAACCTATTCGGAAATCCTGGAACAGGTATAGCTTATGCTATAGATAGTTGTCCCGCTCTGATTGATATACGTCTGTGAACAGGGAAAAGTCTGACAGCAGAGGCCATGAGCGAATGTGAGTATCAATGTCCTCCTCGCGCTCTTGTGTCTGACTGAAAAGGCGCATCTTCAGACATGCGAAGTGAGCCGCGCTTCTTTCCTGTTATATTCGTCAGCTAACACATCTCCCCGATGTAGAGCCGCTCTACGTTGTTGGTGCTGCCGATCTGGGGACGTCAGCAGAAGGGGTAGACAGTAGCCTCACCACTGTATTCAAGATGTCCGCGGCATGGGGAGCGGTTGTACTGATTGACGAAGCAGACGTGTTTCTCGAAGAGCGCTCGCTGCAGTTCCTAGAGCGGAATGCAATGGTTGCCGTCTTCCTGAGACAGCTTGAGTGAGCACTCACTCGATACAATATGTGCCTTCCCTCAATAGCTCGGGAACAGATACTTCCGGGGCATTCTCTTCCTCACGACCAATCGCGTGCGGGTCTTCGACGAAGCATTTCAATCTCGGATACATGTCTCCCTTCGCTACCAAGATCTCGCCCCGGATGCACGACGCCAGATCTGGGTGGCGTTCATGCGCAAAGTGAATGGAGACACGCCTAACGGAGGTCTTTCGAAGGCAGATCTACGTGACCTGGGAGAGAAGAAGGTAAACGGTCGTCAAATCAAGAACGTTGTCAAAACTGCAGCTTCGCTTGCTGTCGGGCGACAAGAGCCGTTTGGATATAAGCATCTCATCCAGGTCCTCGAACTGATGGAGCAGTTCGATACAAGGTCAGTCGCATCTTCTACTGCCTGCGACCGAGCTGACTGCTGTTGCCATAAGCCACACGATGTATCAATAAACATGCGATATATCGCTTTTCTTGTCCTGTACTTGTATCTGTGTAGTGATACTAATCGAATGCCGCTTTGAGGTGTGTTCCCTTGGCATTGATTCGGATTGCCTAGACCCCGTCAGACTGACTGCTTCCACTGTCTCGGAACCTCCTGAAGTCTTTCCTCGGTCCTGTGTCTATATTGTACGTCATGTGGACCTTGTGACCAACACAAGGACCGCACTTCCTCAAAAGCCTCCAGCCCATCTTTACATAGATAACAAGAGCAATGCCTGTGCTTCTCTTTCGCCACTCTGCCTGCCTTTCTAATGATTTGCATCAACGTGCTGATAATGGTGTGGCCATCTCATGGCTGATGTCATCAAATAGACGGTAGCGGGTGACAATGATCAGTGGGCGCCGATGATGCATAAATGTCAATAAATTAGATTTCGAAGTTGCCAGCATGCGGTCGTGTTGATGACGGTCCGTTTATGATGTGAGTGCCCCCACGTGCTGCTACTTCTTTTCGGCTGCATACTTCTATGGGCATGCCGTCAATTGTCTGGACGTTGAAGAAGTCATGGGGCTGATACTGCATGCGAATCGAGCACTCGACGCAGGCTTTAGGCTCCCGTTTTCCGGGAAGATGAGCTCGTATACACACGCAGCAGCCTTCCTACCGCGCCTGTCTTGTGGATATAGATACCAGGCGTAGATTGCATTCTTCGTTAGCCCACCATGCGTTTGTCCGAGGGCTTCATAATTTTGCGCGCCACTGCGTTGCTGGCATGTTGTTGCATATCGTTGGCATTCGAGCCTATCAGCGATCCCGCTAGCCTGGTCAATATGTTTATTGGCACGACCAATGGAGGACATGTGTTTCCAGGCGCGTAGAAGTCAATTTGTGATGAAGCTCTCTGATGCCATAATTCCGCAGGCGCGACCCTTCCTCATGGAATGGCGAAAGTGGGTATGGACACAGACTCGCCTGGAAATGTACGCTTCAATGACGTTCGTTCTATTGATCAAACTCGATGAGCACGAATTGTTTTAGCAAGCAGGATATGATGCAAATCCTGAGTATAACGCGTGGGGTTTCTCCCAACTACACGACCAAGGAACTGGTGGCGTAAGTAGCCATGTCGTGTGCAACGCGTACCACGTGACCGCGTCTTTCCAAGGGCGTCTCTTTGTCTAACTTCAAATTGTGGGCTTTTGCGTCCTGCCCGGTGGGCGATATCTTCGAGGCCTGCCCGACATCTTTGAACTCCAGAAAGGTTCAACGCAACATTCTTCCAGATGGTGAGCAAAGGTTTCTATTTCCTAGGTGGCTTACGCTTGCTCACCGGCATAATGAATGTACAGGCTCTCCTGATGATGCGGCCGAACCGGGTTACTTTTCGTCTAACCTTGTCAGTGTGATCGATGAATCGTCAATTCCGCGTCTATCCGTTGATTCTTGTGTACATTCTCATGCAACTTATATCTCTAGTCTACTGGGATCCGGGTGGAGCTCACAGCAACCCGGCGCGCTGCATTGCATCGGTACGCTATACATGTTCTCATTTCCATCCCAAAAGAAGCTCCGATGTTCTAAATAATGCTGCATAGATACACTTTCCCATATGGGACCCAAAATCCCCGGATGCTAGTCGATGTCACAAATGACGGCGAGCAGAGCAGTACGAAACCGATCATGCAGTTGAATACGTCGACAGCACGAGTCACGGGTATACATCATGGCCTGATTCTTATTTCTCAATACAGAACTGATAATTATGTCCATCATCGTGCAGGCGCAGCCGACTTTCAAGCCTCTTTTGGCCCTGGTCGTTATCGGGTATATACGTGCGTTGATTTCCAGGGTGACGGTTATGATATCGTAAGCGGGCAGCATATGTTCGTCTCAAAAAACATTGATGCTGACTCATGTACATTCAGGGCTCTCCCGTAGAATATGGTGCTTGGCTAGGGGACTCCCCAGTCAAATATTCCGTGACTATCAACCAACTTTATCGTGGTAAGCTTCGCTGCAATTGGATTAGTACAATACCCTCACGCCTCTCAGGCTTCCTTGACCAGCTCGGTGCTTTATTCACGTTTGCGCCGAACCCCACCGGTAGGTACTACAATGACCATGCAAACCATAAAACCTAATTCCGTGATATCCTCAGGAAACACAACCATATTAGCTCGAGCTGGGGTATCGTTCATTTCAACCGAGCAAGCGTGCTCCAATGCGGAAGAGGAGATCCCTACATTTGATTTCAATGGCGTGCAGGCTAGTGCGCGGGCCCAATGGAATGATATCTTGGGCAGGATACAGGTCGACACCGATAATGTAGACAGCGAAACAGTATCACTGCTATACAGTTCGCTGTACAGGATTCACGTTGTTCCCGCTGACTGTACGTCCAGGCTCATATGCTTCCATGTGCCTCCTTGCTGACGGTGTAGTGTCTACTAGACACGGGCGAAAATCCTCTGTGGAACTCAACAGAACCGTATTATGACTCTTTTTACTGCAACGTGAGCATTGTTCCTAGCGTTTACCAAACCATCCGACTTGAGCTAAAATTACGATACCACGTGCAGTGGGATACTTTCCGCGCGCTGTACGCACTGATGTCCTTGCATGATCCAGAAGACTTCGCCAGGATTGTACGCGGCTTGATCAACATCCAGCAACATGAAGGTAAGACCATTGCGAGACTCCGAACATCCATCTTACCTGAAACTGCCTAGGATGGCTGCCTGAGTGCCGCGGAGCCACGCAGCAACAGTTCATACAGGGAGGCAGTAGTGAGTTTTTGCTATGAACCATTCCCGAGAATATTCATCAACACTATATGGGCAGACGGCGACCCAATTCTGGCTGAATTCCTGGTAAAGTGTGTCATCTCGAGCTGTTCCAAGACGCAGCACCTCAGCATTTAATGACCCGGCAGATACTACAATCAATCAGCAGAGTTGGGCGTCAACGTGACAAGTCTCTACGAAGCCCTACTGGCGGACGCAGAGGACCAACCGCCCAACTGGGACCTTCAAGGGCGTCAGGCCAACATTTGGAAAACCCTTGGTTACATCCCGTCAGACGTCTGGGAACCATCAGGCACGAACACCAAGCAGGTGTCACGCACACTGGAGGTAGGCAGTTTAACCCCGCGCAGTGCGACGGCAGCACTGATACCACTGCAGTATTCATTCGACGACTTCACCATATCCCAAGTAGCGAAGACAATGGGAAAGACAGCTGACGGGGCGAAGGTGGGATCGCTAGGCGTGGTGCGCGCTGGAGTATTTGATGACAGCCTACCTGTTGCTAGTACGCAGCGCGGTCGGGTAACTTTGTCAACGTCTGGAACCCAAATACAACTGTTCCTGGGAGCCCCCAAATAGTCGGTATGATGCAGGTGAGCGTCGACACAGGTATGCACATTTGAGATGAATATCAGCTGATGCGGACATGGGCGGTGCCCGAAGCCCCGCTTTTTGAACGGCACATTCAACTATACCGATCCTCGACACTGCAGCGTCAACGACCCTACCCAGTCCACTTGCTATCTGGACGCCATAAATACAGACGGCTTCTACGAAAGTTCTCCTTTGGTCGTGAGTACTCGAGGCTGTCACTTGATGCTTCTGGTTCGGTGCTCATGTCAATTTTAGTACTCGCAGGTCCGTAAAATGCTTCATACAGCAAGGTCATGCGCGCTAGACCTGTTATTTCCAGTTCGTACCCCACGACACCGCGAAGCTGGTCGAACTGCAGGGCGGCCCCGATGCGTTCATTAGGCGGCTGGACTTTTTGATTGACGAGGTGCGCGAGCCTTGTACGTCTGACATACACCGCGACGTATAGCATGTGTTCCGCACCAGCACTATTTCGACGAGACCGACGAACCATCCATGCAAATACCGTTTATGTATCACTATGCAAACCGCCCGGGACTCAGCACACAGCGCTCTCGCCAGGTCATAATCGACTACTTCAACACATCTGTCAGTGGGATTCCGGGGAATGATGGTGAATCACTTTGTCCTCCCTTGCATGTCGGACTTGTGCTGACAATTGGTAGATTCTGGTATGTAGTTCTCACTTTCACAAGCACCTGCGTAAAGCTGGTTCCAGGTGCAATGGGAACATGGGCGGTTTTCCTGCTGATGGGGATGTACCCTATACCCGCTACTCGCCAATACCTGCTATCCTCGCCCTGGTTCCCTCAAATGACATTCTACAACCCCATCTTCAACAAGACAACCACCATCATCGCCAACGGCTTCGTCGGGAACCCTGCGAACGGCACAAGTGGACCTATTTATGTGCAGGTACGTAATTGTGTTCACCCTCTTGCAAGAGTATCCTCATAAACGATGGTATGCTGTCCCAGAACGTGACTATCGATGGCGAGCCATGGCACTCCAACTGCTATCTCGACTGGGACGTCTTTGCGCACGGGTCCACAGTCGAGCTCCAGCTCACGGATAACGCCAATTTGACTTGCGGAGATAGCGCTGCTGCGCTGCCACCGTCTCTGTCGACGGGCGGCTTCGACTGAATCCACCCCACGTTTGTGGGCTGCCGCTTCTACTAGCGATCCACAGTCCTCCGTAAACGTGACACTGCCCGAGGATATGGTGCAGCCCGTATACGGCACCCCCATGCCCGTGCCGGATGCTGTTCAGACTTTGTACGTACCTATGGCCGATGTGCTTGACTCAGAGAATGAGCATGGAAGAGACGCCCGACCAATCTGTCTTGTGGCGTTCCTTTACTGGGCCGTGTCATATCGCGAGCGGTCCTACCGTTCACACCCCGCAGAGACCCATTCGGCCAAGCACAGTGAGCCCTCGACTGCGTTACGCCTTTCTCCTCACCGCCAGCGTGACCCGTCTCCGCGGCCCATAGCGATGCGCTAACCATATGCCTCCTTGCTTTTGCGACGCGACGCGACCCTGCACCGTCGAGTGACTTTGCAGCATCTGCCCCGCTGACTTGATTGCCGGCCAAGTGCCACCTACACTATATATAGCCACACTCTAACCTTGCCTATCCCGCACCATGCCATAAGGGGTTGTCTCTGCAGGGACGCTTCGATTACTCGAGGGGGGGGGGGCGCGAAGGCGTCTCGTTGACACGACAACTTCTCCCGCCGGTTTGGTCACGACGCGCGCGATCTGCCTGTCCGCACCTGCGTGAGCTGCTGACCTGTGCTCCGTCGTCAAGAACGCGCGGATGATACGCACACCTGCTCTGTCGATGCACGCTATTACGTACGTGCGCATCGCCTTGCATCCGGAGGGCAGGAAGTCGGCTTATCTGATTTCCTGTATACGGTCCTCGGGGCGACAGGCTGGCGATGCCGCCTCCAATGGTGCGCAGGCTGGCGCTGGCGCATACGCTGTACGGCATCTCGCGGGGCTAGAAGCAGGTACGCTGCATCCGTCATGCATCACACTGAGATGCTGTCACTGACTAGCAACTTGCAGCGTTGACGTGAGATTGGGGAGCTAGCAATCGTCCCACTGTCAGGCGCGTAATTCCCTCAGACCTGGATTTACAATACAATCACACAACAAGCGCGTGGTTCACGCTGCACTCATGTCGGAATGTAAGAGGGATGACTGTGTTCCCGGCCTAGATATAGCGCTCAATTATACCATGCCAGCCCCTTGGCCCCTACCAGTACTGCCGAGATAGCATCTGCAAACCCCATCATGAACCAAGACACTCAAGAGCTGCACATTACGTATGGGCTGGCGCTGCACCGCGAATTGCCGGGCCCTCGAGGAACGCGCGAGGGACCGGATACCTCGGCCGCGAGATGCTCGTCCTCAGCTCCTCCAGGCGGGCGCGATTGCGACGCAGCGCCTCAGATACACTCAGAGCATCGAGCAGAGATGCGGCGGGCCAGGCCGTAATGCTGCCGACAGGCGGACGTACAAGCACTCCCACCCCTGGCGAGCAATCGGACGCGCGCCCGCCTGGCAGGATGTTGCGCTGCCCCTTCAGCACAAGGGATCCGCAAGTGACAAATAGGCTGTTTCATTGGCGGATTGGGCCGCCACCAGCACCCCGGGCGCGGGCGGGCGCGTTTTACGCGGGCGTGACCACGACGTGGTGCGCGCACGCCAGGGGTCCCGCCAGGCCAGCAGCCAGCCACTCCGCGCCGCGAGCAGTTGCCACTTGCCAGCGCCATTGTGGTTCCGCGTCGCGTGTGCCGCAGGACGGCGCGCAGAGGAGGACGCGGCGCGTGCTGCGCTTTGCGGGGAGGGTGGCAGGTCCTGTGATTCTGTCGGCGTCATCAGATGACGCCAGCGCGAGAAGCCGCGGGCAGGCCATGCCTCATAAGGACTCGGTTATGCTGCAAGGACGAAGTGATGCCGAGTCTGCCTGGCGGGTTTGCCTGAGGGTCAAGGGCGTGACTGCGCGCCCGACGGGCCGGTAGTTTGCTAGTGCATGGTAATTGATGGATATGTTTGTATAGGATAACAACAATTGGTTCCGCAACTAGAGGTGGCAGTTGTGGGATATCTATAGCTCCGATAGTTGGGCATCCAGCGCGACACAGTTCGCTTGCTGGTGACCATAGCCGGTCATCGTACAGAGTCATACGATCGGGTGGTCGCGATATGATGCTTGCCAGGTCCAAGTGGTGGTGTCTTTGCGTGCAGAGTCTGTAAGTGAAGGCGCAATAACCTCGGAAATGGGGGCTGCAAAAGTAGGTTTCAGACGCGCGATGACAAAGTCGAGCGAAGAGGGTGGTCTTACTCATGGCCGAGGAGGGGTGCGCACGCACGGGACTCGGGCTGGGGCGGGCGCTGTGATACCCATGTTAGCGAGTGAATTGGAAGCGCGGCCTGGCGAGCGTCGCTGAGTTATAATCCGCTGCCTCTGATCATCTCAGCCAGATCTCCCCCCTTCCTCGCAGCCGCCAAGCAGGATTTTCGGGGTCCATTCGAATTTCTCGCGGGCAGTCTACATAAAGTATCCCTCTCCTGGCACGCCCTGCGCTCGACGTGCGACACCCTGAGCTCGCGCTCTCTGCCATCCGCGATAACCTTCTTGCGACGCGGCGTGCGTGCGGCCCGGGAAAGGCCCCATTCCACTTCACTTCCGCGAGGGTAGCTACGATCTTGAGAGACGACCATGTACACTCCGACTCATAGTCCGCTTGCGCCCGTACCTCCGTCCCCATTCAATGCACGGCGTGGGCATCTGACGCAGGGCTTCAGCTACGCTCCTGGCAACGCGCCTGCCCAATTCGATGGATATGCGTCGCCGGCCTGCGGATACCCTCGGGAGTCACAAGGCGCAAGCTGGGTGGCGCCGTCATCGCGCCCCGACGGCGCTGCTCATCTTGCACACGAACCCTTCTACGTACAGACGGCAGACCTGGACCTCGATAGCAGGGCGCACAGCAGCCTGCCAGACCTGCCAGGGGATTCGCAGGTACGTGATCAATGGACGCGATCACGCTCGCTGGGGCTTCTCTCGAATGATATTCACCACCGGTTGGGGCGACAGGGCTATCCCCTCGGCAGTCAGCTGGCCTCGCCGTCAGCGGGTGCAGACTACGCGCATCACCCCGCGCCGCATCCCCACTACGCCTTCGCCCGCCATCGTGTCAAGCAGGAGATCAAGGAGGAAGATCAGTCCATCGCCTGGCCCGCGGATAACGTCGTCGACGGCCAGCAGACCCGCGACGACCGCCCCGAGTGCGGCGATCTCTACGATCGTGCGCTCGTCAAGCACGAGGATGACGACGCGTGCCGCGTCAAGCTCGAGTCGCCGTACTCGGGATACAGCCCCATCCAGTATCTCGACGCACCCATGCAGGACGAGCCCATGCAGGACGACTACGACGTCGACTGCGGCTATTACGACCAGGACGGCTATTACGTGCCTTACGAATACGATACCCCCAACCTAGTGAGCTCAGCCCCGTGGGCGACGCGCGCGCGCTGACACCCAAATCTCGCCAGGTACATGCCTACTCCGCGAGCTCCGCGTCCTGCGACGCCGGCTATGTCTACGCGCACGACGAGTACGCCGGCTCCAACCCCGCCTCGCCCATCACCGACGACGAGCTGCCCTACTACCGGCCCCTCATCCACAACAACCGCTCCTACACCCTCGAGGCGGCGATAACGCCCGTATCCCCACCGCCCGCACCGCCGCCCCTCGCGCCGGCGCCGGCGCCGCGGCCCGTCATGGGCCATCTCCCGATACCCGAAGATCTCCTCCCTAGCGAGATGCCCGCGGTGCCGTCGCAGGCACACGCACACGCGCAGCAGCCTCTCGCTCAAGCCCAGCCACCCGCGCACCCAGAGCAGCCCGCGCGCCGCCCGCGCGGCCGCCCGCGCAAGCACCCGCCGCTCACGCGCGCGTCGCCGCCGCCCGCCGTCAACTACCCGTACCCGCAATTCAACGCCCACGCCGAGCCCGGCGCCGCGCCGTCGCACATCGCGATGTCGCTCGACGAGGTGCCGATGCCCGACAACGAGGACCGCCCCGGGCAGGCCATCTTCAAGCTGAACACGCCCGGCGCGCCGAAGGAGCCGCCGAAGAAGAAGCCGATCATGGCGTGCCTCTTCTGCCGCGAGCGCAAGATCGCGTGTGGCCCGCCGGTCCCCGGGAGCTGCGAGCGGCGCTGCAAGTGAGTACCCGTGCCCCACCCCATCCTCCGCATTTGCATTTGCATTTGCATCTGCATTTGCACTCCCGTTCCATGACCCCATTAGCCACAATCCATTATCAAACGCGGGGGGTTATTTCCGTCGCCGCCCCCCGCCACCCCCTTTCTATTATTGCCTCCCCTTCCTCGTGGCTGCTTTTCTTGCACTCTGCACGACGCGTGGCGCTGACCGCGCGCTCTCTTCGCCCCGCTTACAGCCAGTGCGCGCGCCGCGGCCTTGTGTGCGAGTACCCGAAGGAGAGCCGCCGCGGCCAGCACAAGCGCGGCCCGCGCGCGCAGCGCGTCAAGGCGCTCGCGGACGCCGCTGCGGCGGGCGAGGCCGTGCACGACTCCCCGATGACGACGGCGCCGATCGTCGATGTCGATGTCGATGTCGCGCCGGCATCGGGAGCGGTATCGGGATTAGGGCCAGGGTCAGGGTCGGGCGCGCCGTCCGCGAAGGCCCAGGGGGTGCGCGCGCGCGCGAGCAGGGAACGCGACCGTGCGGACTCGAGCCCTGGGGGAGATGCCATGGCGTGCAAGGCCGTGCCGCAGCGCTAGGATGTGCGGCTCTGGGGTGCGCGCGCTGGTTCTCCTGGAGGGGTTCCTGCATGCTCATCGTTCCGCGACGACACAGTGGCCTGCCATGCTGCTACGACGTAGATAGTGTCCTCTTGTGCGATACCCCGCGGGCATGTCCGTGCTGAAGTATGCTATGCCATGTTTTCTTCTCCTACTCCTACTCGCTGTATGCTGTCGATATCGCTTTCGTCGAGTTTTTGCTGTGCAATATTGTATGTTGATAGTGGCATCTAGCAGACATGCGGGCCGTGTAGTACATTGATTGATACCAGGAAACGCAGTCAATCTATCCAGCTACTACTTGCAGGATACATACATGTCGGGCTTCTGCAGATTTCGCGGGTCTCAGACTGAATTTACGAGGAGCAAGATACAGATCTAGCTATAACGCTATGGTCTTCCGGGATGGTCTCAACGGCTGACTGCACATCCGACACCATTGGCAAATGGCCACACAGCTGGCGAGAACACCCCACGACATAGCCGGAGGTCAGGATCATACATATCCTTGCTACAGGCAGATACTGTGAGCCTGTTCAGGAACACCCGGGCAACAGTGCTCACATGTGTCCGCCTCGCGAGTTACAGTCACGCAGGCACTTGCGCACCCAGTTCCTGCCACTGCACAGCCGATGCGGGATGTATGCGCGTGTACTGCGCTATGCGGAGGTCGCCCGCGTCGAGAAACGTGCTCGGGACCCACGGGAGGCTCTCCCTGCGCACGTCCACCCCGCTCCTGCGCGCGATCGCCAGGAGGTCGTCGATGTCCCTCACGTCGTCGTGCTGCTTCACCACCATGTCGACGCGCCGCGCCGCGCGGTGGTCCGTCCAGCCCTGCAGCTTCAGCAGCAGCAGCACCGCGAGCGGCACGACGGGCAGGCCGCGCACGGTGGCGACGTGCGCCGCGGGGACGTGCGGGATGTTCAGCGTGCCCGGCACGAGGATGTCGACCTTGCACCGGCGCGCGGACGCGCCGTCGCGCGGCGGCAGGCGGTACCAGACGACCTTGTACGTCGCGAAGCGCGCCTTGGACGCGACGAGGGTGAAGTTGCGGTCGGCCGCGGCGAGCATGCGCTTGAGCGGCTCCTGCGCGTGCGCACTCGTCAGGACGATCAGGTCGACGTCCTGGCGGCGGAAGGGAAGGGAGAGGCAAGACACCGACATGCGCTCCCGTCAATCCGTCTATGGCGCCGATTCGCTGGATGCACTCACGTTCGGGGCGCGCGTCGTGCCGTACAGCTTGCATGCCAGGCTGCCCATGAGACAGCAGCTGAGGTTCGCGGACGCGAAGATGGACACGGCCTTGGCGGCGACGTCGCGCAGCTCGTCGTAGCTCGCTTGCATGCTCAGATCGGGGCTGCACACGGGAGGGGGGTTCGTTTCTGAAGGCCGGGCGCTGCGGGCAGGCGCAGGCCGGTCTGATTAGCGACGATGATCCTGTCCAAGCAAAGTTAATGCTAACATGCCGTCGAGGACGGTTCCGAACTGTGGCTGGGACACGAGGTGGGGAACGCAAGACGCAAGACGCAAGACGTCCGCAGACGGTGCGCACGAAAGCTGAGGCACGATCTCAGCCTGGTGAGCCTGGTGAGACCCAAGAACGCGCCGCGCACAAGCAATCGGGCAAGAACCAAGCCGCAATGGGCAAGTCTGCACTCGGCACGAAAGTCTATCGGCGCTGCATCTGATGGAGGCACAGGACCCCGAGAGGGGTTTCCTCGGTCCAGGGCAACGTCCAGCTCCGCGCCTGGATGGTACGACCCGCGAGCCCATTTTGCCCACGGCTGCTTCGCGCTCTCAGGGCCATGCTCGTAGAGAGATAGGCAGTAACGGACCACCGGAGAGAAGGGGCAAGCATGAGAAGACAAGGCCTGGAGCACGCAGATTCGATGATCGCGACCCTGTCCACACACGAGCGTGCAAAGAACGCTGTCATTCACAAAAGAGCCTAGCGGGCACTGGGACACATCAACGGAGACCGGAGAAACCGCTCGCCCTGCCCCACACCGCGGCTGAATTCCACTCTTACTCTTATCTGCGGAAACACTCAGCGACGAGATGCGGCCAGAACGCAGAGCAGAGCGCACTTTCATTGCCGTGCGCGCAGTGCCCCGACCGCCTGCCACTTCGCCCGCGAAGACGGGTACATCGACAAGAACTCCCGGAGCCGCTGTATGGTCGCGTCCGCGAGCGTCGGCGGGAGCCTCCGCAACGCAGCCCCGTTAAACCGCGTTCCCCTGCTCTCCATGATCACCAGCAGCTCCCCGATGTCCCTGACGTCGTCGTGCTGCTTCTGCACCAGATAGTACCGGACCGCCGCGCGGTGGTCCGCCCAGCTCTGCAGCTTCAGGCACAAGAGCAGCACGAGCGGCATGACGGGCAGCCCGCTGATAGTGAGTGCGTCGGCGCGCGGTATGTCCGGGATGTTCATCACGCCGGGGACGAGGATGTCCACCTTGCACCGGCGCCAGTGGACCGACGAGCCGGGGAGCCTGCACCAGAGCACCCTGTACGTCGCGAGCGGGTCCTTGGCGGCGACGGTGTAGAAGTCGCTGTCCGCACAGACGAGCAGCTGCTTGAGGCGCTCCTGCTGGTGCTGGTGCGTGAGCACGATGAGGTCGACGTCCTTAAGAGCGGCAGCACATCAATAGCGCGTCCCCGCGGATATGATATGAGCCGCGGGCGTACGTTCGGACGGCGCGTCGTCCCGTACAACGCGCAGGCCGTGCCGCCGGTGAGACAGCACGTCAGCCCCGAGCGCGCGAATATGGCAACCGCCCGCCTGGAGATATCATAGATCTCGGCGGTCGTGGCGGGATGTTGCATTGCTGTGGGCTGCTACTGCGTGGCGGACACACGCGCACGACGGCCGGCTGTGCTGGGATCATATAGCGGCGGGAGATGGCATCTGCGTTATCTGGTGAGCATCAATGAAGGAACGTTGCATGGGCATGGGGAGTAACTGTCGGGACTTACGTGCTGTGCGGAGGCTGTAGAGGTCGTCTTTTACCTGTACGAGTAGTCCCGTGGTGATTGCGTTCACGCTGGATCACAGAAGGCGCGATCATCCTGCGCGGAATGGGTGACTAGGATACCGTTATTGCTGAGCATACGAATTGTGTCGATGCTGCGGACGAACAGCCACAGCCCAGGCTATGACGTGAGATCCGAATGCGAAGATCACAACGCGTGAAGAGCACGATAGACGTCCATTCGCTTTGTTGGTTCCTCATTGAAACTCAACTTTGTATAAACTATCAACCTCATGGTCATGGCGTAGGCAACGGGGGTATAGTAGGTATACTCGTCGATATCACATCATCAGCGCCGAGCTGTGCAACAAAGCGAAACGAGATCCAAGAAATTAATCAATCTAACAGAATCCGTGAGCTCGCTTCTGGTCAAGACATGAAACAACCAAACCCACCTATAAGATGTTCACTATCAAAGGCACTCCCCGCTCACCGCGGGGCATACCCAACGACCCTCCAATTAGTCGTGGTATCTGGGAAGGCTTCTACAAACTCTGTGATGCGGACGATAGCGGCCTCCACCGTCGGCGTCGGGAGCCACTGCAGCCTGTCCCTGTCGATGCACTCGCCGCGGCTGCGCACGAGGACGAGCAGATCGCGGATGTCCCTGACGTCCTCGTCGTGCTGCTTGGAGCGCATATACCAGCGCAGGGTGACGCGGCGGTCCGTCCAGCACTGCAGCTTCAGGAACAGCAGCAGCAGCAGTGGCATGACGGGCAGGTCGTCGATACGCTGCACCTTGCTCGGGAGGATCACCGGCATGCCGATGTTGTCCGGCAGCACGACGTTGACCTTGCAGCCGCGCTTGGCCTCGCCCGGCGCCCTGGGCAGCTTGTAGCACAGCACGCGGTGCTGCGGGGGCGCGTCGCGCGGCGACCAGAGGTAGAAGTCAGGGTCGGCGGACACGAGGTGCTTCTCGAGCTTCTCCCTGGGGTATCTGTTCGTGAGGACCAGCAGGTCCAGTTCCTAGACGTCTCGCGTCAGCCCTTCTCTCTCTGCCGCAGCGGCGGTGAGACGTGGCAACGCACATGGGCTGGACGCCTCGGAGTGCCGTAGAGGGCACAGGCTGTGTCTCCGGTTACGCAGCAACTGACCTTCGACGCCGCGAAGATGGACACGGCCTTGGTGGCGACGTCGAGAATTTCCTTGTAGCTTGCAGGACGCTGCATGGTCAAGAAGAGAAAGTGAGCGAGTAATAAAGAGTGTGGTATCAGTTGGAGAGCATGGAGATAGTGCAGTGGCAGGTGCTTTTAATACAAGCATATGTCGTCACTGCCAGGACACCGCCGTTGCCTCGTTCGGTTGGATCCGTGGGAAAAACATGGATGGGCGATCAGTGTCATGTTCTTTCATTTGGTACACTCCTGCGGAGCCCCATGCTCTTCCTACAAGTCCTCTTGCGCAAATGAGCTCGGGGCGCGTACGGTGACATCCTTGACCGAAAGCACCAAATAGCTCACAAGTGGTGAGTCTTGCCATCGAGGGGTCCCTGGCATTCGCTTTGAGTATGCTATTCATTTCGTACGAGAAACGATCTCGTCCGGCTAGACAAGAAGAAAGGGCGACAAGCTGTATCGCGCGAATGGATGAAGTCTGGAAGATCTGTCACGTTATTCAGGGACATCATCCACTCGGCGCTCGCGTTGCCACGAATGTACTGTATGTCCCATCGTCGTAGGCAACAATCCCTGCCCTCCGAGACCCTGTCGTTGTCCTTTGTGCGTACATGTCCCAGAGATGCCTCAGCTTGGGTGATACCTTCTTCGGATCATGTCTGAATTCGCTGGTAACTTCTCAGTTCTCCTCCTAGGCAGCTTATTTTCAGGCGTAAGGGGCTCCGTTCCGTCATCAATACTGTTCCGCTTGCTCTTGTTCCTGAGCGCGCCACCTTTCACCAACGTCTTTCCCCCACCTTCACTCCGTCGCACTGGCTGCCGCATAAAACGACCCTGCCGCCACATTTGCCTCTGTCCGCAGCCTACGGTGGCAACTCCCATAGGCACGTGGATGCTCTGTTGCGGCCGCCGAAGGTTATGAGTCGTCCGCAAGGCTTCGTGCCGGCAGAAGCACCATTCATTCCCTCAGACTGAAAATAGTTACAGTCGTGTAGAAGACCTCAAGGTATCGACAGACGCAAGAATCACAAAGAAGGGTGCCGTGTATTATGAACCCGAGGCGTGCGGGCATCGTACTTTGCCCGGTTCAGTCAGGCCGGAGCAATGATCCCGACTGACCATTCCGAAATCTGTTGTAATCCCGCTTGCGTACACATATTCTTATGTAGGTCTGTAGGAACTGCGTCGCATCGTGTCCAAGACTCCATAATATTGGCTTTCTTCGATAGCTAAGACATTTCGTTCTGGTCCCTACGACGAACGTGACCGCACAGGGGATATTAAAAGTAATACGGGTGAACACAGTGGTGCAAGGCTCAAGCTTCAGACCAAACAGGAGCAAAGGAAATCGAGAAGTTTGTTAACACGAGCTATGACTTTCCCAAATCGCGGATGGTAACTGTAGCCACCTGGTAGTGTGACATCGAAACACGTATGTTGACTAGACAATGGTGACGCGAATAAAATTCAAAAGTACAAACGCGCCATCAAAGTACGATACAAGGGTTCTCGTGAAGACCCACAGCATAAGACGACTTTGCTCATGTTACAGCGTATAGCGGAAGTCTGGGGCGCGATCGCCCATCTTGCGCAACTCTTCCTCCGTGAACTTGACTTCCTTCTCCATCTCGCGCTGTTGAACATCTCTTCGAGCGTTGACTCTTTGGTACGCAAGCACCGTGATAGGAAGGAACACGAAGCCGATGCCGACGAACATCAGCTCGATCGCGTCTGTGCCAGGTGTTCAACTACGACCCATGCATCATTGCTTACAGGGGACGACACTCACGACCCAGAATATAGCGAGGCTCGTCGCTCGACAAGTATATATTGCTGGCAATCGCGCCACCAAAATTGCCTATGCCTATGTGCAAGGCCATCCCAACGCCGCGCTTGTACTGGCCGGAGAGGTTGTTTCCCAGCCTACGAACATGTTTCACTCAGCCATCTGACACCTCCAGCATGGCTAGCGGCAGCGCACGTACCACGCGATGATGCCAGGGAAGGCAGCATACGACCCCGAAACACAGAAGAAGGTCCCGAAGTACTTGACCCCGACCGCGACGTCCGATATGTTGATGGCAAACCCAATCAGGCACATCACGAGTCCCGCGAGGATGAACGGCGATCGCAGCCTGATGCGGTCGGACCATAGAGCGAACACGAGCAGGACAAGAGCTGCGACGCGAAAACGAAGGTGTCAGCGTGGTATACCGCTGGTCGATAAGTCTATCTCGTACTGGCACAGATATATGGCGGGACGGTGAGCAGCTCGCTGATTGCTGCGTTGTATCCGAAGCTGCCGGGAAACTGATATTAGCAATATCATAAGTGATATAGTTTATGTACGAACCCGTTTATGATAGAGCTGCACAGGCAAACACGAGCATATGGTCAGAGCTCAGGAATGCGCAATTATGGTTAGTATACGTACGGTAAGAACAGCGAGATCCCGTATACTATACCCGATATTCAGCATAAGAATTTAGTCGAAGCATTGATTCACATACAAGGTGTGATGATGGAGAAATAGACTATGATCTGCAGCCAAACCTGTTGACAAGTACCCTTGTTGAGAAACCATCCGAATACTGACGAATCGTGCTCTCAACCCACCTGCCAATCTGTGAACGCGTCTATTAGGTGTCTCACTTCAAAGTGCTCCTCTTCCCCGACAGAGGAGTTGTCGTACTCTGTGATATATATACATGAATACGTGTCATGATCTCTTTGTATAGAACGCACTCTTCCTCCAGGTGATATATGCGCGTTCCTCAGGAGTGAGGAACTCTGCTGTGTCCGGAAAATCAACCAGCACTCCAGAATCGAACATCATTAGATCGACCGAATATCGTAGTGAAGAAAAAATCTCACCGAAGAAGGCGATGGCACCAACTATTACTGTCGCAAGGCCTTCGAGGATCTGGCATTACGTTAAGACATGCCGAAGAAAGAATGATGTCCATGCTTACAAAAATCCACGACCAGCCTAACAGGCCCGCAGTACCAGACATGAACGAGATACCATAGGCAAGCAGGCCTGAGAAGGCACCTGTGTTTGCGAAGTCAGACGATGACGTATACCTAAATGGGCTCAGTAAAGCAATCGCACGGACCTGCCATAGTTGCTCCTCCATAGAATAACCCAATGCGGTACTGGAGCATATGGCGAGGATACCACAGTGTGAGGCTGGGCACAGAAGCGCAGTCAGGTCGATGAAATCGTCTTGAAGATGAGACATGAGTTTACTAGTATACAACACCAGGAAACAATCCGGCTTCCGTGATGCCCAAGCAGACGCGCGTGCCGACGAGTTGCGGGTAGCTGATTGCATCACGTTTGTCACTCTGGTGTATTGCGCCAGTACGCTGCACGCACCTCTTCACAAGCCCCATGAGTGTCCTAGAACAAGAAATCAGCGCGATTGTTCCGAAGAAGGCATAAATACGGCTACAGACATTATTGCCCCCCACACAAGCTTCTTGTAGGTGAGAACTAACTATTCTGCTATACGTCTGGCATGCTCACCGTAATACCAGGAAGCCATCTATGAGTCGACACAAGTCAGGTCACACAGGGTCGGGACGGGAACCGAAGGAAGGATTACCTCGATGGCCGAAACTTCTTCAGGACTCGGCTGCACCGAATTTATCAGCACCTGTAAATGCGAATGATGTGGAAGGCTTACTTGGCGGGACATTCACAAAGGCAATATGGCTGTGAAGATGTAAAAGCGTTGATCTCGCTGAAAACATGCAGCTCGTGTACGTACGACGAAATACATAGTCTGGATGCGCTAGTCAATCGATGAATGGCCCGTGAAGCGAGACTACGCACCAGTGCAATATTGTACTTGTTTCCAGTTAGATCCAACTGTGTTGTGAGGCCTTGAAGTTTCGCATTTCCTGTGTTCGTCTGAGTCGATGAAAAGCCAACTTTGTGGATGCCTCGCACCGATGTTACCTGACAGTGAGCAAAGCGTCAGTGGAGACCCGCATACAAAAAGAAATTAGAATGACCTCTGTCCAGGAACGAACATAGATACATGATGGTCAAAATAGGCAAAATCCGCGTGTCGACCTTCCGCCATAGCCTTTTCTCTTCCTCAGCAGTAAGGGACGCTGGTTGGGGCAGCCGACCTTCCTGAGCGCCGTTTGTGCTATTTTGAGGAGCCGTGGTATATTCGATGGCTTCAACCTCTTCCTTCTCAATGCTCGCGGTACCGCTTCCATCTTTAGCACTCATCTTGTTGTATTATCAAATGGACAGATCAAAAGCGAAAGCAAGAGAGACAGGAAGGAGAACTGACGAGCCTGGCATTGATAAGGCTGTCTCGCGTTATAACTATTCGACCGGGGCGCTACCGTGCACGGGCTGCCTGCGAGATCATGTCCAGTATGCCGCAATGGATGCCCCGGATCCATTACCCCACATTTACCCCGCATTGGGGAGAGAATGCATTTGGCTAAGCTTATCTGGGCGCTCAGTGATCTTGTGATGAAGTAACGAGCTCTTGAGCCATCGAGGTGGACAAGCGTCCGGAAGGCGGATATCCGACGGTGAGCTGCTCGAGGTGTCTCTGCAAATGCATCCGGCGCAACAGAATGCAGTCAGATCTGTTCTGGACGCAAGCAAGCGGTACAAACATAATTTCTATGCCCGCATGCGCAAGTTGAAGCGTCGCCCAAGCAATCATTCCCTGATATATACATGAGCCTTATTACCTGGGAACTGTCCTGCATTTGCAACTCGCTGCTATTGAGGTTGGAGATTTGTGGGACGCTGGCACATCCAGGTGCTAGATTAGTACTTGCAAGGGTTCGGTTCTCCGGTTGTTGTCACTTCTACCTTTCTACGACTTCAGAAGGATAGATCACTTGAGCATTCATCGAATGGCCTGAGCATAAGAATAATATAGTTGTTCCGATTGGGGCATTCCGATAAGACCATCGTCAGCTGATGTGCTCTAGTCTGATACGCACGTATTGCCAGCATGAGCGTCATCCTTGAAGGAGAGGCGCCCACACCTACTTCAGCGCTTCAGCAGATCTACTTATCTTACTTACTCGGCATTTACCTTTGACCGATCATCATCTGTGATATATAGACCCTATTGTCTCTACTGAACTCACCAACTGATCCGTCTGTTTATCGACGGCAAGTCTAAATCGTAAACGACAAACATTGCGACCTAGTTTCTGGACGTGGTCCATTGCTTTGATTGTGTGGCCTTCCGTGTTTAACAACAGGTGATGCGTTCCTATTAAAGCTTAGCCTGTCTTCAACGTTCGGGACTTCTCAGTTGGTCACAGTACTATGCCTCTCTTGGTCGAAGACGGCATTCGCTAATTTCATCTTGTGACCCAGGGCATACGGTTTCCTACGGTGAAGTAACAAGGTCGGATGAGCATTTCTGCCTTCGATTCCGCGTCTGTAATTCCTATCGCATGTAGATTTGGTTGGTCCTCTATTGCCGCATAGAATGATTCGCCACTGACGACCCCATCCTCACTGTTCAGTACCTACCGATCAATGGCTAGTCACGCATATCGGCAATGCGTGCTCAGTCTCTCAAGTTAAACAGCACCTGCTATCCAGGCTTCTTCCCCTTCCATCAAGCCCTGCGCCCGCTCTTAGGCGGCGCCGTAAAGACCGGCCTTTGTCACCAATCACGTTCTCCTCGCATAATCACGGAGAAGGGGAAGACAGCGATACTTCCCAGGAAGAGACATTTTCCGATTCAGACACCCTCGCCGACCCACAGGATGATGGGGAATTCTACAAATTTAAATACGATCCACCTTCGCGTACGACCGGTTCCTCGTCGGCAACCCTTACCACACAGGCTGCGCTTTCGTCAGGGCGTGTACCATCAACATCCTCTACACCTGTACGAGCGCATATCACCGCTGGCTATACTTTAGTCGCGTTTTCTACAGGCCAGCTACTCGAAGATCATTTCAATCTCGCATGGTACACCTTGCGCCCGTATGAACTGCTGGAGCTGTATCCGCCTGCCAGCGCTCTTGTTCCCCTCCCGCGACACGCTCTAGACGCGTACATTCGGCCATATTACGAGGCCCACGTGTGGGCGCTCCGTGTCGTCGGTTCAGAGGTCCCTGCCGAGTCGATCGCAGAGATTGAGAGGCCGGGAACCAAGGGAAAGGGAAAGGAACGAGATAGGCGCACAGGCAGTGGAAGTGGGAGCGGCATCAGCCCGAGCGATGGAGCCGAGGGACGGGATAATCTCAAGGATGTGCCAGAGCTGCGCAAGAAAGTCGACAAAAGGTTCCGGAAGAAGCTGGAATGGCGAGAACGGATGGTCATAATACAGAACGGCCTGTTCAGACTCTGTAAAGATCGCGACGTGAGTGTTTCTGCATCACTTCTTGAATGTGTGGGCAGCATATTCGGCATATTGCTCCACTTGTGGCCTCTACCACAATAATCTCTTCTAAAGAGCAAGGTTGGTGACATGATATAAATCTCCCATAGGTTACAAAGTGATCTGTTTACTGTGTCTCGTTATGCCTGCTCATCTCTGCTTCCGAATACGTTGTGCTCATTATCGTGGCTATCTTGTAGGATCCACGACCGACGCATGTCGCCCCTCTTTCCGCGCTTCTCTGTCTGCATAGCGGAGAGAAGCTTGACACGCGTGTCGCGGCTGCTCATTACCATCCCGCATACGCACCGAGCTCCTCTTCCACGTGCTCCACGCCGCTGTCATCGCCGACTCATCTTCACGCCTACCCACATCATGCCTACTCCGATCCACAATCGGCACCTCGCAAGATTATTAGTGCAAAGTTTCGTGTTGGACCGCACCCACCACCACACTCGCCCGCTCATACTGGGCCAATGATCCAATCAACACACGTTACCGCTCATCAGCGCCCGAGAAGTGATGGTGACATCGGAGGATGGTGGCGGAGAGGCTCGCGAGATGAGTTGTCTGACCCACATAAGGGACACGACGAGGCGCCAGTGCAGGATTTAGGGCGCTCAGAAGCTGGTGAGCGGATAGGACCCATTGAGACAGATATCGATAACAATGGGGACGGCGTGTGGATTGTTATGGACATGCTCAACAATGCAGGTGAGATTATCGTCTTTAACACGGTCGTTCTGCGTGTCACCTCATGGTGGGATGTTCTTTCTGCCGAAACATCGCGTCAAAACTTGAGGGCAAAGACAATGGCTGATTCTCCGTCTCTTCCAGCGCATGACAACCTACTTCGCATTTTACATCGCCATGCGTCACCGATTTGCACTTCGTCCTTTGTCACTGGGCTGAAGCCTGAGCCTGGATATATGTTCCCGCAAAGCTCAACATCGCGCCACGTTGCACGCTCTACTCCTCCTATTGCATCCGTTTCTGCGCCTGCACGCCATGATCCAGGCGGTAAACCTGGTATCGGTGCCGGTTCTCAGCAAGCAGTAGATGCGTGCGTCCCCTATCCGGAATGGAGAGCTAGCGTTGTTCAACGCGCGCGGAGAGCTGGAATGGGCGCCTTAGGTCGCGCTATGGATCAGTTCCTCTTTCCCAAGCCGGCCAATCAGGATGATTCTGACACCGACAGTGAACCCGAGCCTCACACAGCGAAGTCAACGGTCGATGTAGGTACCGATAATGCGGACGTTACGTCCCCCTCATTGGCAGAGAGCTCTCAGCTGTCTCAATCTCCCGGTCTCTGGCATGACCTCCTCTCCGATGACAGCGATAGCTCTACCGAATCCGAACCGGACGAGAGCGAGCGGGAATGGGAGAGTTGGATGGAAGATCTCCGACGGCAGCGCCGTATGCTGGCGCACACCGAGGAAAGACGCTTGCAACAACTGGAGAAGGGTATGAGGAGCTCGTGGAATCTTGATGATGAAGTTGGCTCGCCTATGTCCAGCACCCCTGCGGACAGTGATAATGCGAGTAGAGCCAGTGGTGACGAAGCTGATGCCTCAGAATCACCGGATACGCGCACGGAGCATACCACGCCACCCGTCCAACGGACACTGACGAGTTATTCTTCGGCTGATTCTCTCATTCGCCGCACTATGCACAGCAAACCCAGAGCCGCGCGCGCACGTCCCAGGATCTTTGAGGCTATGGCCGACGATGCGTGGTTGGCGAATACTCGCGCACGTCCACGCTCGCCTCTGTCGTCCCAAGTGCAGCCTGCTCCTGCCGAAATGACTTCAGCCCCAGATTCAGTGTCCTCGATGGCGTCGTCAACCAGACTACCTTCGCGTATGCCCATCCCCGTTGCAATGCGTATGACTACCATGCGGGCTGCCGTAATTGAACACGGAGGCAATGAAAACCCCTCATCTGCCTCGTGTTCCGACCCGCCTGGATCCCAAGAGGCCAGGACGAAAGGCACAGGAAAGGTGAACGACCTAATCAATTCACAAGCAGATGTTTCTACTCCAGTGGATGCCCAAGTGCCCAACCGACACACGCTACAGCCGGTCAAGCTCAAGCTTTCCCTCCCGATAAAGGCGGTTGAGAGTTCATCTCAAAGTGCGCACCGTCGTTCGGAATCTTCAAGTACAAGTAGTCTGGAGAGTATGAGATTCGTGACCCCTGATTCTGAGTGATGTGTTCCATTTTGGTTTCATTCTCACATGTTCCCTGTTTAGTTGGGCCTGCGATTGGCAACAGGTCACCCGATGCATTATGTCACGATTTTTGTCATGAATGTACTATACAATACTAATGGAATAGGAGTATTCACAGTATGGATTCCGACACGAATTTCGGGCAGATCCCGCGTCTAGATTTCACGTCTCGGACGGTGACCGAACGTATAGGGCATGGTCCGAGAACAGGCGCAAGGCAGTGGATTTAGGCTTGTCTTTACTGTAGAGTGAATCGCAACGTTGGTGTAGCCCGTCGGCCAGGAGGATCTCTCTCTTGTGATTGGCCAAACACTGTCAGTGACTTCTGAAGCATTCGACCGGTTGCGAGCTTTGCAGCCGAGGATTCCGCCAATATCGTTTCACAGACAGCAATTAACTATTCCCTAACCTAAGTCTGGCCACTTACACTCGGTCGGCGACCGGGGCGCGAATTATGGAAGTCTGGCTCCACTTCCATTAACCTGCTGTCCCTGCGATAGACTGTCATACCGTTACAACTGGACCAACAAGAAGGGCAAGGAAAATAACATCTCCAGCTAGAATGTGAATCATTATCCAATGTACAGGGAGGGCAATACGCTTAGCCATAGGGAATGCGCATCGTCGCGATGAGTTGGTCTCGACGTCCCCCTTTGTTCATCGCAGCATCATGTCCGCGCATTTCTCCGCGATCATGACTGCAGGCGCCTGCAGATGCGTTCCAAGGATCCACGGCAGCACCGACGTATCCGCAATGCGCAATGCAGCAACCCCATGCACGCGCAGCTTGTCGTCCACAACGCCCCCGCCCTCAGAGTCGCCCTCCGGCGCCATCCGACACGTCGACGTGTAGTGGAACGTCGTGCGGCTGTATGTGCGGATGTGCGCGTCCAGATCTTCGTCGCGCTCGCCTGCAGGGACTACCCAGTCGTCCATCTCGTAGCCGCGCTCGCGCATAGTGTCCCGCATGCGCATCGAGAGTCGCAGAGACGCACGCAAAGGTGCGAAATCCGCCTTGTCGGAGAGGTAACGTGGGTCTATCGCGAGCGGTACGCGTGGATCACGCGAGACCAGGCGTACAGTGCCCTTGCTGCGTGGGTGCAGGAGGACATTGAGAAAGCTAAACGATCCGTTGGGTACCGGCGAAGGATTGTCAAAGCTACTATAAGCGAGCTGTGTGGGTTCATAGTCAGCATAGCCACTATGGCGGGAAGGGGAGGCCATACAGGCATGATCTCAATGTCAGGAACACTTTCTGAAAAGGCCTTCTCAAGTTTTGTTGGCCGGCCAGTCTTGTCGAGCAATCCGCTATGCGTGAAGATCGCAAGCTGCAGGACTGGTCCGAGCAGAAGGCCTGTGCCCCAGATGAGATAGCGGAATAATTCAACGAAGAAGCGCCAGGGTCGCTTCTCTGAGGAAAGGAGCGAGTCTTGTAATGGGATTGAGAATCCAACGGACACACCGAAGTGGTCTTGCTGTAGCATTTTGTACGTAAGTAGGTTACAAAATACTCGAGGGCTCGAAGCTTACCAGATTGGAGCCAACAGCTGGCAAGTCTTTCACGATAGGTATGTCGTGCTCTTTGAGATGTTCCGATGGGCCAATTCCACTGAACAATAGCGGATTCAGACGTCTAGATATATGTTTGTATCGCCTTCACTTACCTCAGCATCAGAACGTGCGGGCTGCCAAAAGGCCCTGCAGACAGCACAATTTCCCGGACAGCCTGCACATACATTCTCTTCTCCAGACTTCCCCCCTTGACCGGGAGTAACACGACCCCCCGCGCGACACAATGTCCGTCTTCCTGTCTCTCTATGTCGATGCGCTCCACCAGTGCGTTCGTACAGACGTGCAGATTCACGCGCTGGCGGACGAGCGAAGCAGGGAGGAAAGCGTGGTACGTCGAGTGCCTACGCGCGTGCTCGTCGATCGTGAAGTGCAGGCCAGCGCATCCAAACGGCGGATGAGTAGGCGAGTTGATATCGTCGATGTACGGGAGGCCAATGTCCTGCGCCGCCACCATCGCTCTAATAGAGCAGGTTAAGCGAATCATCATGCGCCATACGTTGCGCGACCCACTTTTTGAAGCCCGCAAAATAGTACTCGTCGCCCATCCTCCGAGTCTTCCACTCCCCTTCATGACAGTCCGCGTCAGATGACGTATGCAGCAATATGTAGCCCGCAAACATACCTGTATCATTGTGCACACCCTCCACACGACCCGCTAACGCTCGCTCCGACTTGAGAAAGTATGGCTTCACGTCCTCCCAGCCCCATCCCTTCCGCCCAGCCTCCTCCCACATGTCGTACTCTGCGGGAAGACCGCGAGTGTAGAGCATCTGGTTTACGCGCGTGCTGCCACCTAGAGCTCCGCCAGAGACAAGCATAAACGACCGTCCAGCCTCCGGTTGCACCTCGCTGTCACGCTTGAGCGTGCGCGAGCCATCGGAAGCGAAGTCTGAGGAAAACAAGGGGACACGGGCTGCCCAAGTGTCTGCGCGCGGGCCTCGCTCGACGAGCAAAACAGTTTTTGACGAATCTGCGCTGAGACGATTGGCAAGAACGCAGCCTGCTGTACCTCCCCCTATAGCCGCAACGTGTCAGTACAGCAGCCTACGCGAGACACTAGCCGTGTACTTACCGACCACGATGAAGTCATAGCTCGCACTCAGCGAGTCTATGGAGACCTCTCGATAGTTTGAGAACGGCCACATCGCTGCAATTGGCCGCAAAATAATAGCCGACAAGTTCTAGCAACCGGCGCTGACATAACGAAGTGTGAACCGTCGATATGTTTATATCGCTACATCTTCCTGAGAATTCGGAGAATAATATGACGCCGTTCGGCGAGCTAGAATCTCAATTGAGCGCTTCGACATGTGCCCCATCGGGTTTTGCAGAAGACACTGCCGTTGAGAAACATGCATGTGTGAAGTAGCACCGACTCGGAGCATTTGGACAAGAGCCAAGGTGGGCTGAGGAGAGTTCGACGTTAACACTGTTTTAATTTAATTTATGCATCTATTACAACCGGGTTATCGGGTTTATTTGGTCCTAGTGATTTGTTGCTAAGGTCTCCGACGCGTCGCAGTTCAGGCAAAGGCGATTCGATCACATGCACCGTGTCATGACAGGCATCGAGGGTTAGACTCAGATTGTCAATTGCAGCTCGCCAAGAATGTATCCTCGGGGTACATAGCATGATACTAAGGATATGTACAGTACACTATATGAAACAAGCACATGTCAATCAGCCCGTGAAATGGCCGAGCAGCGTTCTCTTGCCGATCCTCACACTCCCCTGGAAAGGTAGACCAGTCAGCTCCATCTCACCGTCACGGCCATTCTCAAACGGCAGCCCATGGACGTGCACGGCGACAGCAGCCACGCCTTGTACACCAGCAATTGCACCCTGCGTACCAAAGATAACCTGGAACAGCAATTGGTCAGGACATGCATGCATGGCGCGACTACGCTACAGACCTTCGACACAAAGTTGCTAAACTCGCGCTCCCGCCCGGGAAGCACTTCTAACGGCACGTCCACGATGTTTGCAGAGACCGAAACTGCAGATCCTTCCCCATCCCCGCTCTCCACCGGTTCGCTAACCGACGCCAGCCAAGCGTCCGGTCGGATATGTGCAAACGCGCGCTCTGGGAGCGGGTCTGGCAGCGGCGGCGCAGGCGGAACATTGTCGTGGTCGTCTACAGGGTAATTCAGTACGCATGACGAAGACGCTGTCTGTGGCTGTCCATCTGCTGGGTCGGGCACGGGACCGTCATAGACGATGACATCAGGGAAAACGCGCACAACGTCAACGCCGACCTCGATCCCGTGTGGGAGAACAACACGCGCGAGGACCGTCCCGCTTGCGGCCATGCCCGAGCCGACGGGCTTGATCTTCATGTCGTGAATGGTGACATCGCGGAGGATGGTGGGCTTTGGATGCGGTGCCGGGAATTTGGCGGGAAGTGACAGGCCGGGGAAGAAGGGAGTGGAGAGAATGATGTCAGAGTCAATAGCAGAGACGTAGTTACTGAGGAAGGCGGATAGGGCAGAGAACGCGTCGCGAGGGAAAGGAAGTACAGTGCCGTTGATGGAGAGGGAAATATTCGGATGCGTGAGTGTGAATGATTGTGTTGTTACATTGGCTATAGGTACAGAGAGGTAGTCCGTGGATGCATTTACAGGCGGGAGAGAAACAGTGAAGGGAAGTACAGGAGAAGTGAAGTCGAGATCCAGAGAAAGCGGGTTGATGACAGTAGCATTCGCCGTCAAGGCGAGTGTGTCGTGTTCGGATGTCACACGAAAGCTTTGCAATGTGAGCAGTTGGTTGACATCTGGAAGCGGTTCATCACGCCCGGCCGGCGGGAGCCCTGGAAGGCGGGGAACTGCTCCTGGTCACTTTCCGAGCGATAGAAATGAGATGAGAGATGACACACTGGTGATGTGTATTTTGGTGTGGATGTTCGAATGCGCGACCGTGATAAGCTGCCGCCACCCGCCGTCGTCCAATCCACCACCTTGCACGATGGCGTGGTCAACAACCGCTTGCACCCTGATCTGTCCCCTCTTCCAGCTATCGCGCACGAAGCGCTTCAGGGTCTGGATGTCCTTCGTTGGCCGGATGAGGACTCGTATTGCAACCGGCGTCAACCAGCTATTGTCGGGTGGAGGATTCGCCGTCAAAGGCAACTCCATAGGCGGGAAATGGAGCGTGGTGAGAGGATTAGATGGGTCGCTCTCCGGAGATATTTCTATGCTGGACAGGTTCACGGTGACCCTGTCCAACCGTCTGATTCCCCAGCGACCAATGGACTTCCAAGCATCTTGCAATATATTGTCGCCAGCCACCTCCTTCACGCCGGCTACCTCTCCTGCATCAACGCCGACCCTTCCCCGTACGAGCAGCCACACTCCGCCATCCCCTGTGGTATTCAAAACGTCGACGCCGTCTGGACCTCGCAGTACGACCGCATGTTGGAGGATCTCGTCTGGAGAAGCACTCACTGCACGAGAGCGGTAAGAGAATACGATCAAGACAACTAGGAGAAGTAGCACAACACATGAGGAGAGCGAGATGAGAAAGACAGAAACTAGCTTGGAATACAGTCGGCGAGGGGTCGTTTCGGGCTCAACCCGGGAGGTGTACGAGCCACTGGCCGAGCCCAAGAGGGGCGTATCTTCGGTGGGTTCTGGGGAGCGAGCTCTTGCCTTGCCCTTGTCAATACGTCGCTCGATGTCGACGGAGTCGGTGCTCATCGTCGTGGTCGTGAATGAAGACGTAAATGCCGGGTAAGGTTGTGCTTGAACCGAAGTTGCCGTATTACACCTTCCCTTTATGGCAAGCATTGGCGCGCCATCAGTTGGCTTGTATTTGCGTCATAAGTGACCTAAACGGGAGAATACCTGAGAGTTATAATTGTCCACAACCCAGTTACCGCTTCGGATCCTTTCTGACTTAGACGTCGCTATCAATTGAACACAGTCCTTCATATGTACTCTAGCGTTCCACTTTTAGAACTCGTGAATATGCTGGACACGATGCGCATAATACGGATATCTGCTTGACCCTGTGAACCAGTTGGATTTTCTTAGTGCAGTTGTCAGGGCGGGGAAACATCGCGACGGGCACGGGATATCTAGTCGAAAAGTATGTTTTCCATTTACACGATCCCGGTCGTCCCTTGACTGCCAAGGTCTTACAGTCTCGACTAGTCTTGGAATGGGGCTTTTCAAGCTTGCTTCTCATCACACACAACGTCGCCTTTTCTCTGCTGTAGCGTCGGATGCCGCTCTATCTTACAACGGTCTTTCGCTGCCATACAAATGGCTGCGCGATTCGTGTCAATGTCCGAACTGTGTCCACCCGTCGACCCGGCAGAAGTTGCACAGGACGTCTGACATCCCAACGGATGTGCGCCCACAACCTGGTGGCGTCAGATTAACCGATGATGTATTGCACATCAGTTGGGCGCCGGACCACCAATCGCACTACCCGCGAGATTTGATCGAGCGATACGCCTCATCGCAGAACTTGCGTGTATTCCATAAGGACGTGGATGCGAAGCGATGGGAAGTTGCAGGACTCAAGTCCTCGCCAGATCTGTTTCTCCCGTATAGCAGCATCCACACACCGTCGGGGCTGCTCAGCGCGATCACACAGTTAACGCAATACGGCCTGCTTTTCGTGACCGACGTGCCGAATGACAAGACGTCGAACGAAGAGTGCGAGCTGCGGATATTAGCACAACGCTTCGGCGAGATACGCGAGACGTTTTATGGACAGACCTGGGACGTCAAGAATGTCCGCAACAGCAAGAACATTGCATATACGAATATTCACCTGGATCTGCACATGGATCTACTGTACGTGTTTGCCGTCTACCACTGCGCAGACAAGCGATTGATCTTGGGATACCCTATAGATATTTCCAGCATCCGCCTCGGTTTCAGATCCTTCATTGCCTGCGTAACCGCGTCATAGGCGGGACCTCTGTCTTCGTCGATGCCCTGCACGCTGCGGAGCGACTTCGCGAAACCGACCCCGCCGCTTTCCACATCCTCGCCGAAACGCCCGTGTATTTCCACTACATCAACGACGGCCACCACCTGCACCACGCCCACCCGACCATCGAGCTCGCGGGCGATAGGGTCGCGCACATCAACTACTCGCCGCCGTTCCAAGCGCCGCTTCCGCTGACCACGCCTGCGGCGTTCTACTTAGCGCTCGAGCGCTTCGTCGCACTGCTCGAGGACCCCGCTGCGCGCTACGAGTACACGCTACGCGAAGGGGATGTGGTGCTGTTTGACAACCGCCGTGTGCTGCATGCGCGGACGGCATTCAGAGAGCGACAAGAGGCCGAGAGCGGCGATGTTGTGGGCAAGACGAACCGTTGGCTGAAGGGATGTTATCTCGAAGCGGATGCTGTCTTGGACCGGGGTCGCGTGTTGAGAGAGCAGATCAGCTCTTAGCATTTTACGGTCGCAGGTTTTGAATCAGGTACTGTGGGAGCAGTCTGCATTTGTGGTGCTTCTGTGGTTGTACCGCAAGACATACGAGAGTTTCGTCATGTCGCGAAATTATGCTGTTACACTCGTATGAGGAGCCGTGTAAATCAATCAGGGCACTAGCCAATATAAGAGGACAGAAAGGCCAAACACCCAGGTCGAACAACAATGTGGAGAGGTTCCAATGATGGTGACAGCACTTGAAGTATAAGACAGTACGTAATTGACTCTGCTACTAGATAACGTGTCAAAAAGACTCATGGCTGGAGTTAGTGATTTCTCTGAGTGCTCAGACCAGCTTACACACATGCCCAGCACATGAGCACTAATGATGCTCGCCTGAGGAGCAAGGCCGTTCACAGTGCTAACAATCGCGACCACCCTGCTGCTAGTACCTACGGCAGGAGAGGCTACGGCGAGCTAGCAGGACAGCCAGGCGATGTCATGGACTGCAGTCGACTTTCACCAGCGGATCGAGCTACCATATGGTGTTGCACTCGTAGGATGGCCAACCAACATTGCCCGCACTCAATGCAGCGTAGACTCGCTCGCAGAAGCTCTGGGAGTACGAAATGACAGTCATTGTGATACACTAAAGTACATGAAATTGACATTCAGTAGGATACCTAGTTGTAATGCTTGACGACAACATTTCTGATGACTTCCTCCTCGATTCCGTTGTCTTTCAACTCCAGCGCCGTGACACCATACGCACTCGTGCGGCTCCTCCGCCACTCCTCCATTGTCGGTGCCTGGTCGTCTGGGCACAGACGATTAATCCCATGTTTTTGCAGTACAGGGCTCTCCGCGAAAGGAATGAGCTTGGTGTCGTCATTAGCCTTTGCAAAGTAGAAAACGCCAACGCGAGCATAGCCGCGCTGGTCCGCCGGAGGCTGTATGACACGGTGAATGGTAGCCTTGTAGAAGCCGCCTGAGAGGAACTCCATGACGTCCCCGGCGTTGATGACCTAATGTCGGTTGTTACCACAATCCATATGAATATTCCGCTTAGGCATACCAGAGCGTTATCAATATGCCGGATCCAACGCCACTTGCCGTCAGGCGAGAGTATTTGTAGTGCAGAAATCGGCTGGCTCCAAAGAATTGACACGCTTCCGATGTCTGTTGTTCGACTGTTCAGTACACAGGGAGAGCGACACATCTCGTTTACTGACCGGTATGGCCCTTCAGCCACACACCTTGCGTCTTTACTTCTTCGTCGTCTGAGAGGGGGAAGCTACAGTTTGTCGTTACTAGAAGATTCAACCATGTATGCAGTGAAGCCCACTATTTCATGAAGCGTACTGGTGCAAACAATGTCAACAAACGACGTGCATTAGGTAGCAAATGAATGATTTACCAGCAGTCTCGTTATTGTCTTCGAAGCCATGCATATTTACAAATGTGTCTTCCGGAAGCTCTAGTCCGAGTGCCAAAAGCCTGACGCATATGAGATCGTTTTCGCAGATGAGAAGCATTTTAAATGTAACAATTACCTCAGGATGGGGAAGAGCACTTCGAAATGGCAGAAGCGGTTGAATGCGTCAATCTCTGGGAGCAACGGCCGAAGGACCTTTGGATGCTCGTCGACAGTGACATCTCGATTCACTACGTGTAATATGATAGCATGAGCGGCATGAGACCTCTGAGGCAGTGAGTTGCCGTACTGTTGTATTGCTCGATCTGATCATGGACCCCACCGTTGATATGCTTGTAGGACATAACGATCAGCACATTGACAACTCAGTCAAGTATTATGCAAACCCATTGCCGCCGAGGCTTGTAGCCTAGGTATATGCCGGTACTCTCGAAGTCGCCAGTGTATATTTTCTTCTCGTCATCGCCGACTTGGGTGAATGAGACATCCGCAATGTCAAAGATGCGATCGTTCTAGGGGATACGCACAATTTCTAGCGTCGTACTGTCATTGATGAAGCCGTCGTGCCCACCTGAGCTTGGGTTAAGCCGTGATTCACAACGTAGAAGAATCCTTGAGTAGACATCGCGTCGCGCATCTGAAGAGCGAGTTCTGCGCGACCTTCAGCGGTATGCGCGTTAGAAAGGTCAATGACCGCTAGATCTGCATATTCCACTGCGAGGTTGTGATGCCATCAGTTCGAGCGGACGCGAGCATCGACACGGATCACTCACAATTTTCCTTCGTCACAGGAAGTCTTTGGAGGCGAGGAATAGAGGGAAGGATAGTACTCGGCATGTTGGATTTCTGAAAGGCAGGCTATGTGGTGTCGAGAGGAAAGTTGCCTGACGGTCCAATGTCTTACGCATCACACTTATATCTCCCTTGCGAGTGAGTGCCACCGATAGGTCGATAGCCGGGCGCGTTCCGTAGCACCACACCAGTAAACGATACCTGGGTCATCAGATACTACTTGCATATTGACGAACGTTCTCTCGGAAAGTTCATGGATTCCCAGACCGGGGATTCTTTATGCTCAGCAATTGTATCGGTCTGCTCAGCTCTGCTACTGGAAGGGAAGGACTTCTATCGCCACGAAGATTAGCACGAACGCCACGAGCGGACGACATGCACACCTGGCCAGGTTCAGAAGACTTGCAAGTTCGTCGGTATCTTGCAGGATTTAAGACCGCCGACAGTCACGAAGCTCTTGACGGTGCCCAGACTGCTGCAGAAGGCCTCTCACATGGACGTTGCCATTGATTGCAACGAAGTATGAGAACCACAGGATGTTCGTATGCAGTACGAATACGCATCACTTTCAACCTTCGGAAGGCAGAATTACGCCTGGGAGGCGCAGAGGCCCATTAATGGGTCTCTTGGAATATTCCGGGCAGACCTTGAGTTGCACCTTATCACCGCGGCTCGATCAGACGCTCGATTCTCGACTGATAGGCACCGCGATTGCGGGTAAGCGATGTCTTTTTACGTATTCGCGGGAGCTCCTCGCCATGTGCCACTCTAGTTGTAGTGTTTTACCACAACCCCGTTGATAACCTCTTCCTCCACGCGCCCGTCATCTTTCTTCTTGAGCTCTGTCTGGCCATACGCGCTCGTTCGCGCTCGTCGCCATTGCTCCATGGTAGGAGCATCGGCATCGTCACAGCGTCGTACGATACCGTGCTTCTGGAGGACGGGACTGCAAACGGTACAAGTTTGACGGCATCGTCCGGCGAGGCGAAAAGGAAGACACCTAAGCGCGTGTAACCGCGCTGGTCTTCGGGCGGCTGCACTACTCGATGAATCGTAGCTTTGTAGAAGCCCCCTGAGAGGAATTCCATGGCGTCTCCTAGGTTGACCACCTGAGAGGAAGTGTATGATTTTAGTCAAGGTCTGTCGGCACAAATAGACCATGAAGCTCCAAAACGTACGAGTGCGTTATCAATGTGCTTGATCCACCGCCATCCGCCATCCGGAGACAGAATCTGTAGTGCCGCGACAGGTTGGCTCCAAAGTATTGTAACGCTTCCGAAGTCTATATGATTCGTCAAGGGACGTCTCCATTTGGTCACGGGGAGGTTATACCTGTATGCCCTTTAAGCCATACATTCCTGGTCTTCGTCTCTTCATCCTCTGATCGAGGGTAGCTGTGCATTTCATTGGTAAATAAACTCCTCCACCGAATTTTTCCTTACTATTTCATAAAGCGAACTGAGCGCAAACAACGATGTTATGAAATCGACACCTAACTACTGCTTTTGATGCACTCACTGTAAGTCTCATTGACGGCGCTGTAACCGTGATTATCGACAAATGTATCCTCCGGAAGTTCTAGGCCAAGGGCAAGTAGCCTAGCTCAAATGTTGACCGCCGAACAGATTAGATACTACTCTCATGTGAGGCTTACTGTAGGATTGGGTGTAGCACATTCAGGTGATTGAAGCGTGCGAAGGCTTCGATCTCGGGCAGAAGCGGACGAAGCTCCTTCGGGTGCTGTTTCTTGGTGACATCACGATGAACTGAAATACGGCTATCTTAGTATACGAGGGACATGAAGCAGCGTGAGACAATTACTGTTGTAATGTTCGACCTGATCGTGCACACCACCATCGATGTGCTAGTGTTTAAACGTCGCCGTCAAAACCTTAATGCATCATGCATCATGTTTGGAGCGACGCACCCAGTATTGACGTAGTTTGTACCCTTGATAGGATCCCGTGGCCTTGATGTTTCCTGCGTAGGTTCGCTTTTCCTCATCCGACACGCCCGCGAATGGTATGTCCGCAACATCAAATATCCGCTCGGCCTACATCGAGTCGCCATTATCTCGATCAGTGCTAGTGCAATGTGCAGAATAGTGCTTACTTGAGGTGCCGTATAACCGTGATTTATAACATAAAAGAACCCCTGTCCAGTCATGGCGTCACGAACTTGTGTAGCAAGCTGGGCGCGCCCCTCGACAGTGTCTGTCTTTGACAAGTCGATGACAGCAAGATCTGCATAATCGACTATATGTCATGCGGCTTAGCATAGTCAAGAGTCTTCGCAAGTAACGGCGTATTCATCGCGACCACTCACGATCGGCCTTTGTAGGAGGTGCAGGAACATAGTGAGGAATTCCCAGTTGAGTGACGCTAGGCATTCTCGATGAGCTTCAAGGGGCAGCAAAGAAAAGCTTTCACTGTTGATGGATGGATCGCGCACGACAAGGACAGAGCGCAGACGAAGAGGCCCTGGGTTTATGTAGGACCTGACACCTGCGTCATGTGGGAGCACGCAATCTAAGCCGGGGTCGACGTGAGACTGCTCATTATCGCGGGATAACATGGTACCTGAGAATTCGTGCAAGGATGCCAACTTTGTTACTCATCTGGCTGCTCTGTCGACAAAGCGGAAAGAGGAGACTCACAATTTGACATTAGGAAAGCCGAAGCATCCTTCCATTTGTTCGTACCGGCTTCAGTCTGGTTCAACTGATCTGATAAGATCAAGCCTGCCGCAACATCCTGTATGCACGTCCCCAACCTGTGTAGGAGAGCTAGCTTTGGGAACGAGTGCGACGCGGTCGAGTCATGTTAGCATCAAGCGTCAGAAGGTGATGTATCAACCAAGTATAATAGCATCTACTCGCGCTTTAAGTTAGAGCTGGCGCCGAATTGCCGAGATCAGCATACTCAAATTCGCGATCAAATTGGGCCGAGTAGGCGCGACCTGGACGAGGCAGACACACAAAATACCGCAAGTCGTCGTTTGTCCGGTGGAAGCGTTTAGAAAATGTGAAAGTAGAGTAGTTCTCGAAACCTTTCTCAGCGATTCCATTAACTTGCAGGAGTTATGTTATGGAACCACGGAAACGATAACTTCCCTCCTAAAGACGCGTACGAGCACGTCGTCCACATTCGTGAAGTTGCTTCTGCCGAAGAATGGTATGTACCGTCCAAGCCTTGACAAAAGGCACCCCGGGGTCCGTGTCTGGTACGCTTACGCTCTGCCGCTCAGTCACACGAGACGACTGGCGGTGATGCGCCGATGGCGCGATACGGATAGTGTTTGCGGTTAGGTCCCCTGTTAGGTGGGACACTCAAGTTTACCATACTGACTGGCTTCAGTTCGTTCCTTTCGGTCGCGCTGAAGCCAATATATCAATATCTTGTATAGCTTGAATATGGTATTGAGAGGGTAAACACATATTCTTTATGGCAATAATGTAATAGAGATCAGAAGTAATGCAGAACGTAAGCCGTCCGAAACTGCCCAAACCATTCAATTTGTGCATTTCCTAGTTCCTAGTTATACTAAAGCGTTTGAGTTGTCATCCTTTTCGCATGATTTTGCTAGCCGATAACGTTCAATTATTTATTATGTTAGGCGCCCATCAGACGGACCTAGGTCCGAATTGTAGGTAGAATCTAGGGCGCGGTGAATCTTGTTACCTTAATTAACAGCAACCTGATTTACCGGTTCATCACCGGTAGATTAACCGGTGATTCACCTAGGGTCAAAAATATGGGTGTTAATCTGGGTTATTCTTGGAATATTCCTCGCCGACAAGTCTATTGATTTGACTGTTAAATTCCTGCAGGACGTTATAGCTAGTAGTGCGGTTTCTCAGAAGAAACGACAAGAATGCGTAGTGTCACCGAACATCGCGAGCTCAGTCGAAGTTCGCGCAGAAGACCTGGACTTGGATTCATGGTCATTGACGGTCAATGTTGTGATTTACCGCTTTAGGCTGTTAATCAACGTTAATCAGCACGTGGACGCTCGTTGGTTAATTAACCGTTAATTACACCTGTTAATCTGGCCGACTGCTAATTTACGATAAATTAGGAAGCGATTCCAGATTCGCCGCGCCCTAGTAGAATCTGATGGAAGAGACGACTCCGACCAACACTCCCTCTCACTCCGGGAAGAGTTATTGTCCATACTGGGTTCCAAGAACCTGCCGGACATTTCCAGTGTTGAAGAGGCAATACAGCGTCACTCAGGTATGCAGTGTAAAATGTAGTTTTTATCTACTTAGTCCCGTGATTACCACAGATCCGCGCTCTGGATGAAGACACCGTTGCTCGGACGGTGACTGTATCATAGCAGCAGTACCTTACTAGTCATATGGCAGCAAGTGTGGACCGTACTACCACTATATCTTCGCCAGTACCTGTTGCGACTTCACCAGACTAGTTGTGTTGCCAACCATGTCGAACGCAACCGACTACAAATCCTCCAAAGAGGCTTTCGTCTCAGGAATGACAGGCTCTAGTATAGCTCACATCAACATGCTCTCCCTCGCGTCGCCGGTAAGCGATTCGATATCCTATGCATCGGTCGTGCCTCACACGTCCAAGATGTCTATCCTGCTCTACTTTCTCATCCGTCGCATCTTGCCCAACCACTCTCTCGCGCTTTACAAAGATTTCGTCATCCTGGTAGTCCCGCTACTCGTCTCCATCACCTTTTTTGCGGAAACTCCAATGTCCACAGTCAAAGCCTTACTACCTTGGCTTTTGTGGTGCTCATGGACACTCTTCGCCCGACGTGAAAACGCCATACCTCTACCTTCAAGTAGAAACCCTGTCACGCCCTCTCCATCTCAAGGCGGCATATCTCAAGAGGAAGAGACCCCTACAGCAACCAGAGAACAGCTCGCACCATTGACCGTATACCGCTCACAGATGCTCCTCTTGACGATGTTGTGCATCCTTGCGGTAGACTTCCCCATATTCCCGCGATCTTTAGCCAAATGTGAAGACTTCGGGGTGTCCCTGGTAAGTTCTGTGCACATAGGCCAGGCGGCATAGCCAATGATATACAGATGGATCTAGGTGTTGGCTCCTTCGTTTTCTCGCAAGGCATCGTTTCTGCAGCACCCATTGTAAAGGACCCAGCTCATCTGAAGATGCCTCTCACAACGAAGGTCCTGGCGGTGGCCTGGAAATGTCTGCCAGTGGTCGTCTTGGGTCTACTCCGCACGCTCTCCGTGAAAGGCATGGAATATCCCGTACGCGATCTGAAAATGTATGTGGTGCTGATGCTGATTTCTGATCGTTTTAGGAACATGTAACGGAATACGGAGTACATTGGAATTTCTTCATCACCCTTGCAATTCTACCAATACTTCAGGCACTCTTACACCCACTCATGACTCGCGCATCAATTGTGTTTTTGGGTGTAGCCGCTGGAACATGTACGTCTTCGCGGAGTGGACTGCTCGCGGCGTGTCTGACATCATATAGTGCACCAGGTGCTTCTGAACAAGGGTCTGATGGACTACATTTTTTCAGCTCCTCGTGTCGGTATCGTGAGCGCTAACAAGGAGGGCCTAGTGTCTCTGACTGGTATGTGTGGAATCATGGAAATCACGTTCACGCTCAAGGCATTCTGAAGGTTACTTGGCGATTCATCTCCTCGGTCTGTCTATTGGCACGCTCATCCTTCCCCCGACACCATCTCACTTTCGACGACGTATCCGTGAATTGAGGCATGGTGGACACGGCCACAGAAGCTCACACAGCGATGAGGCACCCCCGAGCGTTGATATCGTAACCCCCGCAGCGCGTGAGAACGACAAGACTGCGATTGAGCTATGCTCATACGCTGTTCTATGGTGGACCGTCCTTGGCGCGTTGCAATTCTTCAATGTCGGTGGCGGCATATCGCGACGACTGGTACGTAACAGAATACCTCGGCAGAACTATTATTCATCAAACGCGCACATACTCAGGTGAACGTGCAGTACATCGTTTGGGTGACGGCGTATAATACTACATTCCTTTTATGCTACGTACTCCTCGACCTGGCCTTCTTTTCCGCGCCACATAATACCTCCTACTACTCTCCCGTGTCGAAACTGAAGGTGCGCCCAGACCCTGCGTTAGCGGAACGTCGGAAGTATGCGATTGCATGGGCCGTGCCGCCCCTGCTCGCAGCCGTCAACAAGAATGGGCTAGCACTCTTTGTACTGGTGCGTGCGTCCCAGAAGGCCCTACTCGTCCTGACCCTTAGGATCGTCAAGGCGAATTTAGCGACGGGGCTCGTCAATATGATTCTACCGACAATGTACATGTCTAATTGGCTGGCATTCTCAATTCTTCTTGGGTATGCATTCGGAATCGCGGGGTTAGCGTGGAAGTTCAGGCACAAACGGCTGGTGGCGCTGTGATAAAGGCCTTCTTGGTCTTGATGGGTTTATGGAATATGGACGTGAAGATGTCTCGTAGATAACATGTGCGGATTTCATTTGGTCTTCTGCGTCCATCTACTTATCGTGCCTTCACACAATAAAGCAGCTGTGCGTCGATTCGTCGAGTATTATACATGGGGGCATTTGATCAGTGCGCAGTGGCGTGCCAATGGCAAATTTATTGACTACAATGTGACTAGTAACTCGGTTGTTGGGCTCCCGGAGAAGGAACTTGAGTTTCCTAGTAGATCGGTCTAGTCAGTACTCAAGGTAGGTGAACAGATGCTGCTGAACTATCAGTCTCAGGATGCAGGCTGTGGCACTACCATGACATTTGTTCTCTGATTGCGATGTATCCGCATTTCTAGCACCGCGGAAGACGGAGGGCGGGAAGCCGTGCTGTCTCAATGTCAGCATTCTGCACCCCTCGATGTTCGATAAGGCTCATCTGACATTGTGGCCGGTTCGTTCTATCTATGAGAACTTCTGATACAGAAATAACTCCGCTCGCGCAGCAAGACTTGCTCTTCTCTGAACATCATGCATACCATTGACTCTGTCATATACTCCCTGAACATCAAATGGAGCTCATTACAATCAAAGGTGCCTGTGCGGGTGACTTGCTGACTCCAACTCTTTGCATATCTTCCAGATAACGAAAGTAAAATACACGCTTCCCGCTTCTTTGCATTCGAGTACAAGTACTTCAAATGAAGCACGGATTTGTATTGTCGGATTCGCTGTGAGGTAGCCGTCAACACCTTTCAGATCCATTAACTCGCGCAATACGGAATGCCTAGCCTTACCCTTCCACCGGTCCCGCGCCGCGTCATCCCTTCCCCCACGAAAGAGGACTGTACGTGGTACTCGCACCCATATGTCCGAAACTAACACTTGTGTAATGCTTTAGTGGACTACGCCGACTTGGCTATCATAGACTTCTCCAAAGTGCATACTGAAGAAGGACGTGCCCAACTTGCCGTCGAAGTCCGGGATGCGCTTTCCGTTCATGGCTTCTTCTACATTATAAACCATGGCTTAAATCAAAACGAGGTAGGCGTAAGGCGCACCTTTGGAGGTAGCATGAGGGTAACAGCCTCCTTTCCCGTAGAATGATCGCATCTTCGATATCGCCGACGTTCCTTTCAACTCGGTTCAAGATGAAGAGAAGCGCCTCTATGCCTCGGACATGAAGGGCGCTGGTTCCTACCAGGGATACAAGATGCGATCTCTTTGGGTATTTGAAAAATCACCTTTCAGTCGGAAGCAGTTCAAACATCCATAGTAGCACATCGACAATGGTGTCCGTGACCAATTGGAGCACTACAATAGTAAGTGCTTCCTGTCGGATACAGATGTGACTTTCAACGAGAAATTCAATTTCAGTCAACCACGACGTTAGCAGGAAGCGTCACCCGAAGCCTGTTGAACCTCTCATTCCCGAGATTGAATCCTTCATCAAATTTAATCACTTTCATGTGCTTAACAACATCCTTCGGTAGGGATAGACTTTGGCTAGGACACTCTCTATCTGACTTGTATCCTACAGCCTGCTAGCTCGTGGAATGGAGCTTCCGGAAGACACTTTCGTCAAAGAGCATGACTTCAATGTCCAGGGAGAATCATACGGTAAGTGCTGGAAATAAACCACTTGAGGAAGCCCCGCTGAGTTGATTATGCTCTGCAGTGCGGTTTATGAAATAGTGAGCCCGCAGTGGACCCTCTTACTCCCTTTTAATGAGAACATGACAGTTATCCTAGGACGGACGAGGACGAGGAGAAGAGCAAAAACGTATGGCTGAAAGGTCATACTGGTATGTCAGAATGGCATCATCGGCAAATTCCTATTGAAGATGCGGGTTAGATATCGGCAGCGTAACTATTCTCTGGAGTCAGCCCGTTTCTGCGCTGCAGATTCTCTGTAAGGACGAGAAATGGCGATGGATCAAGCATATTGACAACGCCCTTGTATGTTGCACCATTACGTGCGGTATAATTGCACCACTCATGATTCGTTGTTATAGGTGATCAACTCGGGCGATGCAATGGACTTCCTGTCAGGGGGTTTCTACAAAGGCACAATCCATCGTGTTGTCCAGCCCCCGCAGGACCAGCGTGGCCTTACTCGTCTCGGCATATTCTATTTTGCCATGCCACATGACGAGGTCAAGTTGGTTCCGCACCTCGAGAGCCCCGTCCTTCAGAGGGTTGGGGTGAAGCGTCGGTGCAGTGATGATCAAGCACCTACAATGCGGAGCTGGCGACAGGGAAGAGTGAGAGGTTACGGCTTTGTCCCTTTGAGAAAGCGAGAGGATGGTCATGAGGAAGAGCTGGTAGATGGGCTGCCTGTCACGCATTTCAACTGAACCTCTCCTGAACAGCTCTCCATCCACGTGTACCAATAAGTATGGCCAACTGTTGACTTCTGTGTACTACAAACGAGCAAAATCTATCCAGTGCTCCATCTCCAGTTCAATAGCCAATGTGCAAGAGTCAAAGACACTACAAACTGCTTTCCAAAATGATACCTCAGGTCTTCTGTACTAATTTCGACGACCGATTCATCTTGTATATACTATGGATATAGCTGGATTACATAGGGTGTCAGACAAGACGTTTCATGAGCGCGTCTCATGAAACGCTCAAAGTTGCTCTGTTGTGCGACGCGAATCGAGCGCGAACTACATTGAGATCAGGTGACCGCGTTTCATAGGCGCTAATCATGAGAGTACATAGAGTTTGCCCGCTTGTCCATAATCGTCGTCCTATCTTGTAGATACTGGGGATATGTGGTCAGTGGTGCCGCCGCCCTAAAAATCTCCCCACCTTCAGCTCATTGAAAAATAATTCAATCTCATTGGTTGCAAAGGAATGTCCAAAGTCCGAACATACGGAGTTCACAAATCAAATCGCTTGCTCATAAATATCTCGCTGACGTTCACACACTAAGGCAACGCCAACCTCGAGGCGGGATCATGGTCTCTATACGATTTGCGCCGCCGACTGACAATCTGAATATTCTACACATGCTGAAGGTCGTTGCGAGGGTAATGTTCACTTATCGCACAGTCGATGCGTTGCTCGCACCGTATCGCGAAGCATGCGTATATCTTTGCTCGTGACCTCGTGCTTGACGTGAACCCCAATAATCCAGATGCCGGTGTCCAAATAATCAATTTCAACACTCTTATCAGCACTCACGAACTGTTTACTTGAAGTAAGCCGTCGGCTATCTTCGATCAACTTGCTCTCAACCAACTAGCCCAGCATGGAGACGCAGCTCGATGTCGAGGTTGCCAGCCTGGCGAAAAGCGTGCTTCCACCTGTTGACGAACACGATGCATCGGACAAACGTCTGCAGGAGCTGGGATACAAGAGCGAGTTTCGTCGCGACATGTCGCTCTTCGGTGTTCTGGGCATTTCGTTCTGTGCTATCGGAATTCTCACCGGCATGAGCAGCGCCTTCCAAACTGGGCTATTCTCAGGTGGTCCATTGGGCTTGTTCTGGGGCTGGAATGTAAGTTACCTCCGGAAGCCTGATCTGACTTTGTGAGACTTTCATGATTGGCTTCGGGATCACAGATAGTAAGCTTCTTCATGCTCCTGATAGCATTAGCGCTCGCAGAAATATGCAGTGCATAGTGAGTACGTTATTTGCATGTGAGCATACTATCATGAAATTCTCCTGCTGCAGTCCCACAATGGGAGGGCTTTACTTCTGGGTTTGCAAGATGAAACCAGAGACTCCGGTCCTAGGCTGTAAGTGAATTTCTTCATGGGCGTCAGCCAATATCACTAACATGACAAAACAGTCTGCGTGAGTACATATGACATTGCAAAATGACCCTTGGACCAACGAGCTTATTGGTTCGCTTAGACTGGTTGGATCTACAGTATTGCTTTGGTGTTCACAGGCACATCCGGCAACCTAAGGTACGAATACCATACACCACTTGGGGTTCGGAGCTGAGACGCATCCTAGTGTTGCGTTGTATTTAGCTTCCCTTGCCGAAGTTTGCCAGAATCGTACGCTCACCCGTGTGGAGATTACTGCAATAGCGTGGGGTGTCAACATTGCCTCTGGAATTATCAACACCGTCGGAACCAAGGGCATCGGCGCGATGAGCTCTCTCAATGTATGGTGGACGTTAGGTGGCACATTTGTGCTCGTCATTACACTCCTGGTTAAGGCACCCATGAAGGTGATATGGCCGCATCTTCAAGTAATCGCCGTTAACGAGAATTGATACATGAATGCTATAGAATACGGCAGACTTCGTTTTCACTGACTACCAGAAGTAAGCCCAGTGCGAAATCAATTGTGCTGAATCGCCCTCATGGCTGGAGCAGTTTTACTGGTTGGAGCAATCGTGGATTTGTTGTGCTGCTCGGCTTTCTTCAGGTGGGCGTTTCCCCGTATCAATGCGGTACCACTCTGACTCGGCGCGGTAGGCCGTGTACTCTCTAGAGGGATGCGAGACAGCTGCCCAGGTGGCCGAAGAGGCACAGCGCGCTGAAATCCTTGCCCCGCTCGCCGTCGTAGGATCCGTCGTAGGGTCATGGCTCATCGGCCTCGCGTACATGCTCGCGCTGCTTTTTTCTGTACAGAGCATCGCACGCGTCCAGGAGACGACGTACGCACTCCCTATCACGCAGCTCTTCTACGATGCAGTCGGCCAGCGGCTGACGCTCATGTGTGTCTCCGTCATTGCGATCGCGCAGTTCATGGCCGCCGTGACGGGGTTCACCGCAAGCTCGCGGCTGTTCTACGCGCTTGGCCGGGACAACGCATTCCCGATGAAAGAACGCTTCATGCGGCTAAATCGCTTTCAGGCGCCATATTGGGGTGTGTGGCTATCAGTGCTCGTGGGATGTGTTATCTCCTGCGCGTACATCGGGTCTGTTGTGGCGGTATGTGAAATCGCCGGTTATCGATTTCATCAGTACTGAAACCAACACATCGGACAGTTCAATGCGATCCTATCCTCTGCGGCCATTGCAGTTATGCTGAGCTACCTTCAGCCCATCCTGATACGTGTCTTCTGGCCCTCAACGTACGTATGAACTTTCGTCATAATTCAACCAAGTGATTGAAAAATCCCGCATATATGATTGCAGAAGCTTGCCTGAGCTAGGCCCGTTCCATCTGGGTCGTTGGTCTTGGGCAGTGAACTTCGCGAGCTTCTTGGTATGTATCTTCAGTACAATGATCATACTACTGCCATTGACGTATCACTTTCATCCGCAGTTCTCTGTATTCATCTGCGTGCTCTTCATTCTCCCAACTTCATACCCGGTAAACGCGCTGAATATGAACTATGCGATTGTGGCGATTGGCGGGGTGATCATCTTGGTCGGTCTTTGTTGGCTGTTATGGGGACGTTACCGCTTTACAGGGCCCGTAAAGACACTGGCGCAAGTTTCCGAGCAGACATCTTCCAAGTACGAGTAACAAATGGAATCAAGAGAAGTTGATCGACCTAGATCTACTATGTGAAGCGTATGACGTCTCGAACACGGTAGGGTATGTCTACTTGGGTGTGACACTGTCACATACATCACAGTTGTCGCGCCTAATCAGCATTGCGTGATCGTATCACTGAATGAGACTATTGTCATCGATGTGGACGCGGTGGTTTTGAACATGGGGTTGTCCGCATTCTTCAAGGTCGCATAGACCAATACGTCCCGTTGTCTGCTTTGGGTACTCGAGAGTCATTTCGTCTGATATGATGCGGCGATTATGCTGCTCAATCGTGGGATGAGCTCCGCGTCTGATGGTGATCGTATTGCGTACGTAGATTTGCTACTGGTCCGGAGTATTCAAGTCGTCCTGATTGCGCGTTGACAGGCATGGAGAGAGTGGAACAGCAGCGCTGGCATCTACAATCGGAATCCGCGGATCTCATGGGTGACCACATTGTGCTTCTTCAGGCACCCGATGGCTTGTGAGGGGGACCACAACTTCTGTGAAGTGTGGTCGTCCACAACGGTACTTCGTATGCTGTGGTTTAATTGTCGGCTGATTCGATATCGCTATATCTACCCGAGAATATATGTGCACGAGCGGATTTGATATGGGATTCGGAATCAACAGTCGCGGCCATGATCCTGGCCTGGCTGGACCCGGCAAAGTATTTTTATAGCCACAATGTACAAGACTAATCCAGGGCACGCCCATTCCCGCCCGAGGTCCGCTTACGCGCGCATAGAGTACAACAGGTCTCATGATATGCAATGAGGCTTTCACGCCTTGGCATCACCTTGGCAAATCATCACAAGAACTGAATCTTGATGCGAGCGGCTTGCCAGCATTGCTGAGGGACGGCCAGTTCAATTCCTTTGGGTCATATTATGATCCTGATTGCGTGTGTATGCGTAGCATGTGTCCCCGCGCCATTCAGTATAATCTACATTAGCATAAGCCGTATCTGCTCTGATTATATATCCTCTAGACCGATCGCGGCGGCTCAAGCACCGTTTGTGGTCCCGATTGACGTGGATGTCAACCCGCGAAGGCAGTGATTTGCGGCCGGAGAATACCACCCATCGGCGCTAGGGTCATGTTGTGAGTGTTTAGATGATGGCACACCGTGCGAATGGTACCACACAACGCTCGTGCTCATCCCTTCTTTTGTGTAAGCATTCTCGACCCGTATGAACATAAAGAGCTGGCGCACGTTTTCCTCCAAGCAACGGTTCTGCTCAATGAGTAATCAGGTTAAAGCTAAGCCTCCACATCACTTGGACATAGTGCTATGGTGCATTGATTGTCAAATACTTCAGTCGCACGACACCAAGTCATGTTGAGCTCCAGCTGCTTGATGTCGTACCTTGCATAATTCAATCGCTTCCATTCACATCTAGTAGATGTGGGAAAGGCCGTTATATTGCAATATGTATCCCGGCATGTCTTATCTTGAATTTACAGAGCAGTAAGTTGTTTTGGACTTTGTGCGAAGCGGTGTTGAATGTGTGGCCATCTCCACGTTTTCCGTGGCCACGAACACGGGTGACAAGACCCTTGAACGTGAGTCAGATGTTCTACGACGTTGTTAGTTTGACACCCGGGTCTGGAGAGCTCCGTTCAGACTCAATGTGGGTGCTAAAGATGCTCCGCCTGTAGCCCGCCGCTTCCGCGCATCATGTCAAGGGAATCTCTCGCGTGACAAGTCAGACCCCAGATTGCTGCGCATCTCTGTATACCAGTATCACCATTTGCCGACATATAAACCGCTCTCAGCTCCCTGATGACTCGCCAACCCATCTGGCTCTCGCCCCGTTTATCTCTCCCCTTGTTGTACAATGTCTGTCCCCACCAAAGTCCAACTACTCGTTCAATCGCAACTCCAGGAGGACTGGGTCGCCGAATGTCCTGTTGTTGTCAAGTCTGCGGCACCCGGTCTTGTTACGGATGCCGACAATTCCGGCCGCCTTGTGTCTTACTATGTCCAGGATAACAAAGTATTCACAGCGTATCGCTACCCTCAGATGAACGGCAATTTTTCCCCCGGGTGGGTTGTCGAAGATACCAAATTCCGTGAGTGTTGTATAGCCGAGCCCGCCTTTCAGCATATGTTGATTCGGCATCAGCATCCACCGCATCCGTTACACCGGTCGATCTACGTGTCACCTATTATGACGGCTTGGGCGGTTGTTGCGTTACTTGCATTGGGAGCGACAAGAACGTCTACATGCTCAAGACTGAGATTGCCAGTCGCTTCTACCACTGGACGCTGATCCCGAACAAACCGACAACGGACGCTGTTACTGAAGCAGTACCCTTCGTGACCGCCGACAATAAACTCTGCGTGCTCGTCAACACCCGCAAGAGTGATGGCAAGTATGCTGCATACTGCCTAATCCCGGATGCCAAGGGCTCTCTCGAGTGGAAAGCAGACTCTAGTGTCCGTGACGATGCCACATCAGTCGTCGTAGACCGCGCGCTCGGGAGTCGATCAAATGAGACGTCCTGGGGATACTTCCAGACGGCGAAGGATAATGGAAAGTCTTACGTTCAGGTCACCACTACAACCCTCCTTGGCAGCAACAAAGCTGTAGCCGTAAGTGCACCCAAAGCGCTATTCAGAAAGCTCTGAAGTAAATCACTCGATTAGAGCCGAATTGCGACAGGAGATTACTACGGCCTCTGCCATGTTCGCCTCCCGACGAACAACACGAAACCCTTGTTGTTTGGCATCGATTCGAGTACAAATGTCGCTACGTACTTCAAGGCTACCGTTGATGCCAATGGCAAGCGCACAACCAGCAAGGTTAACCTGTTTGGATCCTCCCCGGTTACGAAGATCGCTGCTTGTTTGAGAACGGGTGTCAAACCCAATGGCGTAGCAACAGAATGGGTTGGTGAGTACTGAATTCTATCGTTTGCATTTTATTTGACAACTGATCACCACCACCCAGAGGTCTTTGGAGTGGATCAGAACAAGCGCCTCATTCACACTGAGTCGGTTCCCGATCCGGATAAACCAGCCTTGACGCAAGAGAACAGTAGCGTCTACCTGCTCAGTACCGGGGAATATGCGTGCGTATACCATCCCGTCGATATCTATTTATACCCAATTCATCTAGAACCTCTCAGTGTCAATGTATGGAGTGATAGCGCTGTGATCACGACGAACGCCAGCGACGTGTCTCTTACCTCGGCTGGCGACGGTTATGCGGCCATGCTCGTGACCCAGACGGCCGACACTAATATCAACCTGCTGCACATGACGCAGGACCCCGCAACGACACAGTGGCATCAAGATATCCTGAGCACTCCTGCCACTTCTACTACGACGGCTGCGACCAAGAAGCAAGTGTACTATGTCGAGATCACTGCGTTTGATGCAAATGGAATCCGAATGCCCAGTTAGTCGCATTTCTGCAGTTTGACTCCAATATGACGACTGATATCCCTCTCCTCCAGACTTGCTCGCTACCATCAAGTCTATCCAGTACTGCAATGCCAACATTAACGGCATCTCTACATCCATCGATGCTCAGCGTGCTTTCACCGCTGTAACCAACTCAAGCGGCAAAATCTGCATCACGGTCGATGCTGCAGAGAGTCTGTCTGCTCCTACGTTAACTATCTCTGTCGAAGGCATGGATCCGAAGGACGTCATTGATGTCCATCCGTCAGGCGCGATCCAGAAGATATTGAAGGAGATCACTGCTGATGGCCTCAAATCCGCCAAGGATAAGACAGATGACACGAATGTCTTTGACAAGAAAGTCACCGACGACCAGCTCAAGGAAATCGCAAAGGCTCTCAATACGCTCATGGAGATTACCGATCCCCGGTCGACGGGTAAAGCGCCTTCCGGCAACACATCATCCGGGACGAGCCCGTCCTATCTCCCCAAGAACGCTGGAACGTCGCAAGGTGGTGTGGAGGTTCGTCCAGCTCGCGAGTCAAATTTTAAGTTCGGGCTCATCTCTCATATCTCGTCTCAGGGCTTTGGCCAGCAGAGGGTTCCGGGAGGACTGCCTGCATACACGCACAAGCTCAGCAATCCTCAAGTTGCACGTCCTCGCTCTGGGTTCGACCTCAGTCTCGGCCGAATCAACGGTAATTCGCAGCTGGGCTTCGACCTAAAATTCCGCGGAGACAAAATCCAGTTCACTGTGCTCAAAGCTCAGGAGGCTAAGAATCTCTCGCTTAAGGAACTGGACAAGCTTCCCAAGCTCTTGTTCTCCCTGGGAGACCTCTTCAACGACGTGATAAACGGAGCAGCATCCATCGCTCGAGTCGTTGCTTCGGCTGTGGACGATGCCGTGGACGTTGTCATCCAGGTCACAAAGAACGCCGTGGATTACGTTGTCAAAGGGGTCATACACTTCGCCAGCCAAGCGTTCGAGCTGGCCATGACTATATTCCGCACTGTGACCAGTGAGAGATGTCTTTTTTTAAAGCCTGTACCGGTTGCTGAGCAACGTCTTCGTACGATAGACCCTAAGAAGATCTTTAACTGGCTTTTCTACCAGCTGCCGAAAGTCAATCATACAGCCGAGATTTTCCGTGCGATGCTCGTCAATTTCACGGACAACGCGAACACGTTGTACACGGCAGACTTCCCCAAGAAAGCGAAGGATCTCGCGGACAAGGCGAAGAACTGGCTGGATACCAACTGCAAGACAGCCGAGGATCATATGAAAGATCTCAACGTCAACTCCTTTGATGAGAACGGACCCAAGAAAGACGACAATGGCACGTTTGACTACTTCCTAGACAATCTCCCGTCGACGGCGACTTGGCTGTTTAACAAGGTGGGAGACTCGCGTATTTGTGGTGTACCTTGAGATTGATATCCGTCATAGTTCTTCAATACGGACGCAGGATCCGCCTCTGGGCTTGGCCCATTCAAGGGTCTCGCTGATTTTGTAACAGAATGGACGGGCCTCCTCGACGATCTGAACCTGGCCAGCGCGAAGAAGGAACTGAAGGATGCTCTGCAGACGCTGTCCGAGCATTTCAAGGAACTAAGCACGAGGAGCGCCGTGGACGGCAAAGAGATTGGCTACTTCCTGGAGATCTGCAAATCCGTTCTCTACATGATCGCCAGCATCTTCAAGATCATCGTCGACCGCTTCTGCACGATGGCTGCTAGGGCTATTGCCTCCCTGAAGAAGTTTTGGGACTCGGAGCTTGAGATACCGATCTTGGCCTCTATCTTTAAGGCGGTGACTGGGAAAAAACTACGGTACGGATAAGCGACCAGACAAAGTGGATTGTGCTCACAACAGGTTTTCCCCTAGACTCGGCGATGTCGTGACGTACATCCTTGCCATCCCCTTCCAAATTGCCTACCAGAGCATCCAACAGAAAGAACCGTTCGCTGCAGTCCAGGTCGTCAAGGACAAAGTAGACTTCTCCACGCTTACCGATGACGAGGTCAATGTGTCACGCGGGATCATGTATGGGCTGTATACGTTCGTGGACCTGTACGAAGACTTCATCGGTGCCAACATGCCATTCAACGGCGTCATTGCCGGCAAGATCCCCAAGATCAAGGAGAACGGGCCGGCATGCGTCAAGTCGCTTTTGACGTGAGCCCCCTTTCTTGATCTTGCATGCTGCTTGAATGCTCACGGTGCGATCCTGCGCTGCCCAGCGGAACTGGATTCTTCCTGTGCGCTTCTCAGATCATCTTCGAGAGCTCTTCTCTGCCGGAGAGCTTCGACGTAAGTGTACGAGAACCTGGGGGACCATGTCACTGAGCGGATTATTCCATATGCCCGCAGCGTATATACCTCCAGGCAGGACTAGGATATTCTGATCTCACCTTCCGGTATGGATTCGGCCTTTATCACAGCTTCCTGAAGGTCAGTCGCGGAGATCAAGCGGGAGCGGTCATTCAGACGCTATTCGGTGTTGCTAAGCTCGGTCCTGCAATCTGGCACGGTACGGCGTCCGATTGTTTATGGCATTCATTGTGACTCAGTTGTCCGTTATACGCAGTGGTCAACGTCGTGAACGAAGCGGTGAGTCCTTCTGGGCTTCTTTTCTCATCATATATGACAACATCTATCCTGCAGAACACCAGCGGGACAGAGGTGTCGGGCAGCGCGGAGGCGGTGCTGGCGTCAGAATTCCTGGCACCGATCTCTGACATTGCGAAGTTCCTGTCGCTCTTCAGGGATCCTTACACGTATGCTGCACTCTTTGTGTGCGATTCTGTGAGCGGCGTTGGTGCTTCGGCGGCCAGGATCGCTGCCGCGCAGCATTACTAGTAGTATAGAGGGCGGGGCCAATGTGTTAAGCGCAAGGTTTTTTCGGGGCAGGCGAGAAGTTGCCGGAATTTTGGGTATGCGCTGGATATGCGCATGGATTGTTGTGCTGTGAGATACGCATTGTATGATAGGTTGATCATGTGTTCCCGTTTGCTCGCTGTATGCTGTATTATGATTAGCTGTACAAGTCAATCCACAAGTGCTTGTGGGTACGGTAAAGGAATGTGGGCTAGCGTGTGTGTGTGTGTATGTGTTGACGATCGAGAACGAATAGCGAATGGAGTCGTGCGCCATAGGTAGCCCCATCGGTTTGTAACCTAATCACCCATTGATCCCTGTCCATCGAGGATATTCTCTGCCAGCGGGATCTCCGGCATCATTTTCACAAGTGAGAAACATGAAACCTGTGCTGCTATGTTATTTCGGAGGGCATGCGTTGCCTGAAGGGGCAATATGTATACCCAATGTGGAGAGAAGCAGCTATGCTGTTGAGCACGTGATGTTGCACATCGGAGTATTCGCGTCAGATTGATGTCGCCGTGTTACACGTTGCGTTGCGGAGATCTGAGACAAATCGTTATTCGAACAAGGGACAAGTCGGCGCTTCACAACATTCGCGGCAACGGCTAGGGCGGCTCCGGACTTGACGTTATCTCACAAGTACACTGTCCCCACACCCCGAATGTGCCTGCCCCTCAGTCTATTTCTGCGCCGACAAGACACTCCAGCCAGGTCTTACGACCAGCGCGAATATCTGTTATGAGCTTTCGGCTATGCGCACCGCTTCGTTGGCGGCTACATCTGGTCAGACATGACTGCAACCCTGCTCATCGGGGCATAGTCACAACATTGCTTCCAGGGAAAGGACGGTGGATCACCACGGCGCAGGAAGTAGAGAACACCAATGTCTGTCATTCTCAGTTTCTTGCAGAGGCCTCGGGCAAGGCAAAATGGAGAGACCCCAATGGTGGCAAGGGAGGGACGGAGGCTACAGGAGAGGACCTCGACACAATCACCGACGGTAAAGGTATGTCCGAGGCAGTGCACATGTTCTCACAGACTCACACTGTACAGGGAAGCTATCCCCCACTTCATCCCACCTATTCAAACTCATATTACCTCTGGGGCATGTGCGCGGTCAACAGCCAAAGCCGTCGTCCTCCTCCCCGACCAGCATCAAGCCGCCGCCGCCGCCGCCGCCTACCGTATTCCTTCTCCATCCTTCCCAACCGCTATCCCACGTATCCCGCCTGATCCTCGCGTCGCTCGCGCCCGCAACGCCCACCATTTCCTTCCGCAGCACCAGCCCGCGCGGGCGCACGTTCCAGTGGGACGAGTCCACGGACGTCGGCGACTTCATCCGCGACGCCGCGCGTGCCACCAAGTTCACGATCTGCATCGGCGCGGAGGATGCGCGCGGGGACGAGCGCGCGATCTGGGCGCGCATACCGATCGAGGTGCCGTCCTTCGCCGACCGCACACGCTTCCTGCGCCGCCGCCTCCAGCTGGTCGAGGAAGAGTTGGCGCAGATGGAGACGCTCAAGCGCCAGTGCGACCTCGAGGCACACCGCGGAGCGCGGCGGATGGCGCTGGGCGGCCTGGGGCTGCTGGTTGTGTACTGGGGCGCCGTCGCGCGCCTCACGTTCTGGGATCTCGGCTGGTGAGTGGCTATATGCGCGGCTTTCGGTGTTCTCAATGCCCTGCATTGTCACAGGGATGTCATGGAGCCCGTTACCTACCTGTCCGGCCTGACCATGGTCATTATGAGCTACCTATGGTGCGCCTCGACCCGCTGTCTTCCTCTTGTCTGTCTGACCACCTCCTAGGTTCCTCTACCAAGGCCGCGAAGTGTCCTACTCGTCCGTGCTGCAGCGCAGCGTGTCCGCACGGCGCGAGACGCTGTACAAGGGCCACGGATTCGACATTGACCGCTGGCTCGACCTCGTCGCGGAGGAGAAGGGGCTGCGCAAGGATATCAGCAAGATCGCGGAGGACTACGACGAGCGGCTGTGGCGCGAGCGGCAAGAGGAGAGTGAGCGGAACGAGACGGAGGGCGGGCGGCGTAATGTGGAGAGGGAGGAGAAGGCGGAGGCGGGCCTAGAGAAGATACCGGAGGAGCGCACCGGCGATGATGTTGCGCGTGAGACGCGTTCCAGCGAGGCTGGTGAAGGTGGCAAGACATGAGACCGGCGGCGGAGGGGGAAGCGACCGGCGCGGGTATGTTCACGCTATGCTCCTGGGGATCATACCGGCCTGAACACTACTGTCGCCATTTTCGAATACGGTGTCGATGTACGTCGGCAGGTCCAAAGCTCAAAGAGGTCAATCAAGGCAGAGCAGGCGGAGGAGGCTATGTTCCGCCTACCGGGCTCCAAATGACCGTCTCGGGGAGTCGACCTGTGTCCAAATGGAGATCATCACTGTTACAACATTGGGACATGCAGCTCACGATATCTCATCCGTTCCATGTCCGGTAAGTTGACAGCCACCAAGAGCGCCTCCACTAATAAAATCATTGTCGACCTCTGTTCGAACTACAGATTTTTGTGGTGGCTCACATAGCACCAATATTGCCCGTGCTATACTCGAACATTTGTGTAATTTGCTCGCTTCAAGCCGGATTAAACAAAATCCACCCGCAGTGCTTAGCTTTGATCCTTCCTACAATCTAACAACCTCCGGATATAGAGCCACTAGGTAGGGAATCTGCTGTAATCATCAGTAGCAGATGAAGTCTCCCTGTAACGTAGTGAAGTACTGGCACGCGGCCTCGCAGAACACGTTGGTTGTGTTGCAGACCCCGCTGAAGTGAGTGCCGCTGCGTCCGGATAACTCCGTTCTGCATACGCGACCGTTTTCCAGCCCTTACCACGCGACTCGGGATCTTATGAAGGCAGGAAGGGTACGGGACACTTGCTGGGTTGAGGAGGAGTGTTGGAGCTCGCGCTTTGAGTGCGAATCCAACCTGCCCCACAAGGACTGTACTGCTCTGACGTGATTGCTATGTGATCGCTTTGGTTGCGCTTGTGCAGTGCATATGGACCTTTACCTGTTTGATACGATTTACCACATGCATTTGCTTTGGCGATCATAGAATACTACATGTGCGGCTCTCAGTGAGCCCTGTAAACGCATCCCGATCCTCCTATTTACTCGCTGCGCGAATGTCCTACTTCAACAGAAGCCGCGCCGTCCTCTACTACTGGGAAGCAGTACATGTTTCCGCCCAACGAGGCGCAGTACTGGCTTGCGACCTCGCAACTTATTAATACGTTGGCCATGTTACAGACGCCACTATACTTAGCGCGGTTGCACAAGAACGACTCCGTCCCGCACAAGGAGAAATAAGATGGGGTGCTCGCGTCCAACCAAGTCTGGTAGAAGACGTTCGCGCATAACGCGAATGTCTTGCCACTGTAATCAAACTTGATGTCGATATAGTCGACGTCATTGCATCTTCTGCGGGCCTCGAGCGCAGCGATATCGGCCTGTACGGGGTAGATGGTGTGTGAGCAGAAATGGTCAGGGAGGCACAGCTGCGCCCGTCAATACCTGGCCAGCGTGAGTTCCGCCGCTAAGAATGCTGTTCAGTGAGGGATCACAAAAGACGTCGGATCATGAAAGACTCACTCGACGAGCCGGACGGTAGGGTTGGCCGCGACGTTTGCAGCAGGCAAGAGCACACCGGCGAGGGCGACGACGATGAATGCGCGAAGTTGCATGATGAATGAGCAGTGTGCGGTTGACGACGGATGTTTATATAGCAGAGGACTGCTGCTGGAGGGTACTCTGCGTCGGCACGGAGAGCACCACGCAGTATATATACACATGCCTAACCGCTGCAGGGCTGCAGACAACCGAAGTTGGCCATGTTCAGAGTGCCAGTTCTCGCTTCGCAAACATCCAAGTTACGAACCGAAGTGTGGACCCGACCCACATATGTTTATCCCGATAGTGTCTGTTCTGTCATACGCACAATGTTAGGAGTCGATAAAAAGTTGCTGCAGAGCTACTCGGGTTAGAGCATCATAGTATTGAGAACATCACTTTAGGTATCGGTTGCAATTTGATGCGAGGGATCTCGTGGCGGACAATCACGTTCGATGTCTTTCTGTGTACCGTACACGTTCGCTATCCAGCATGCACGCGATACAGACGCGCGAGGTCCAGCTCCTCTGCCTGCATCGTTTTCAGGACCCTGGGATCAATAATCGGCGAGGGTCTGGAGCCGCTGTGGCGTGCACCAGGGCTAGCACGGATCATGAGCAGAATGTCAGAAGACCTCACAACTCGGAGAGCGTACTGTACAGTGGACGCCGTCACCCTCGGTCCTTGCAGGGCCGGCCCCTCCGTTGTCACGAAGGGCTGAAACTCAGTCCACGTATCTAGATTCACTTCTAGACTCTGGACATACAGATGCCTCAGCTTCAGTGTCTTCTGCAAATCCTGTTGGAGTTCGTCAGGGTCCCGAAGCGAGAACAAACAAAAACAATACATCGTGTTTGTCTGAGCTCTGTCAAACACGTACTAGTGAACATGCACAGAGACGGAGAGACTCGCACCAAGTCTGCAGGCTGCACGGTACTATATATAATACCAAATACGATGGCACACACCACAACTTTTGCAATTTCAAAGACGTCCTCGAGCTTCGTCACACAATATAATATAATGCGGCTTTGCCGCCGCACCTCTGGCATTGTCGACGTCTGGCCGTCCGGGCTCCGGCGGTTGATTCCGGGTCTCTGCAGCACAGGGCTCTTGGCGAAGAGGATCAGTTAATGTCGTCGTTCACCTTTGTAAAATAGTAGATATCGATACGGGTTACAGCGCCTCACTATCGGCGGGAGTGTAACAGGCAGTTTGGATCGAAGAGCGCGCGTTGCAAGGGAGTTCAAAGCAAAAGGTGGGCGAGATTGCCATCGGGAATATCCACCACTTGAGGATAGCAACCTGGTATCCGGGGTCCCTGAATCCAGGTTTTAGCTGAATCTCACCTGCATATCAAGGCTCTAATCATTTCATTTGTTTACTATCTGTAAATGGTTTCCACTGTTTACTATATATCTTCATCTACAGTCAGGGCATAGACAGTGAATAGATTGTAAATAAATGGTATAAATGGTCGGGGGTTGGGGATACCAAATATAGTATATTCCCACCATGAGGCTATTGCTCTCTGGTACTATAGAAGCCAAGTGCCTTACTTACTTCTTACTTTATTTATTGGTTTGTCCTTTTCAAAACATGATTGCAATCCTGGCAATTCCCGTTATGCAAGTATGCTTCAGTTGTGAATGTAAACTAAATGCTTGAAGCTGAAACATTTGTCTTTCCGTTTTATTCCTTGTACTACTAGCACCCATACTGATGCCTGTCTTAGTGCTCACCCGCAGGTTGAACATTATGTAGCTTACATAATGGGGTCCATGCGCACTTTGTACCCGGTATCGTACCACTACATTTCTTTCTCTGCTAAACATGATGTCGCGACTTAGGGTTGAGTGACAGGGGAAACACAGACTGAAAGGTGCTGGGGGTGTTCGACTGGGTCTTACTGAAGCGATGGTGAGCAGAGCTCAAACCTAAGGCTAGGGACAAGAAAGAATACAGGAGAGGCTTACTAACCTAGGGACAAGAGGTCAAAACTAAGGTCCCTAGGGCAGCAGAGGCCGGCTTATATACATGGGGAGATAAGGGCAGGCTGTGCGTGCTGGTCCGTGTGCAGCTGGTCCGTGCGCAGCATGCTGATGTGGCCCCGGGGGCTGGTGAGTCAGAGCGGCTGTGTCAGCGGAGCCCGTGCTGTGCCGCGCACTGCCGTCCCATCTAATCTAATCGTACAGTAGATAGTGTCATGTCCATATCCGGTATGTAGTACAGAGGTCGCGGGTTCGAGCCCGCAAAAAGGAACAAATTAAAAAACGGCTAGACGCCGTGCCAAGTCGTGACATTACCCCCCCCTCAACGGTGCATGACCTCATGCGAGGCGCCCTTGCCCATCTCCCACCCGGAGCAGCAGCATGCTTCAGTCAGTGCCGAAGGCATTGGCTGAAAGTTGAGACCACCAAATGTCGCAGTGTTGAGGCAACGAGGGGCGTTCGGATTCTTCCAGTGGAAGTCGGCTATGAGGGCCGGTGCATTGGCAACATTGCGCGCCGGTTCCCATGACGTGTGCAAGTTGTCATAACCCTTCCACTTGACAAGGTACTGCAGCTAACGCCAGAAGATCCGCGAATCCTTGATCCGCTCAACCTCATACTTCTCGTCACCCTCAACCTCGATCGCCGGCGGCTCCTTCGGCTCCTGGCCTGGGATATCACTATGCGTGTACTTGCTCAGCAAGGAGACATGGAATACCGGGTGCACCGGCACCGACTTCAGCAGAACCAATTCATAATCTAAATCTCCGAGCTTCCACCACACGGTATAAGGTCTGAGGCGCTTGGGACCAAGCTTCTTGCTTGGCTGTTTCAGCTTAAGGTTCCGAGCGTCAAGCCAGACCTTGTCCCCCGGCGCGAAGACCGGTGCCTCCTGCACGTGCTTATTGTAGTACACCTTCATACGCTCAGCTGATAGCTCAAGCGCTGTCACGAGTTGGTACGGTGTCTAGCCGTTTTTCAATTTTTTCCTTTTCATGGGCTCGAACCCGCGACCTCTGTACTATTTGCCTGATACGGACGCATCATATCTACTGTACGATTAGATTAGATAGGACGGCAGTGCGCGGCACAGCTCGGGCTCCGCTGATGCAGCCGCTCTGACTCACCGGCCCCCGGGGCCGCATCAGCATGCTGCGCACGGACCAGCTGCGCACGGACCAGTGCGCACAGCCTGCCCTTATCTACCCCTGTATATAAGCCGGCCTCTGCTGCCCTAGGGACCTCAGTTTCGACCTCTTGTCCCTAGGTCAGTAAGCCCTCACTTGTATTCTTTCTTACTTTACTAACTAATACATTTTCTTGTCCCTAGCCTTAGGTTTGAGCCTCACTCACCATTGCTTCGGTGAGAATTAGTCGGACGCCCCCAGCTTTTTAGGTTTCCCCAGTCGCTTGACCCCAAGTCGCGACAAGCGCAGAGCGCGTATCGTTGTGAATCTCTTTCAGGATCTTGAGCCGATCAGCGGCCATAGGTATCGCCGACATTGGATTGATCCGCACTTGGATCTCAGGATGGTACTCCTGGTGCAGGAAGAAAGGGGAGTGCCCAGTTGTGGAGTGAACTCGGTTGTTCAGTGCAAACTCTGCAAGCGGTAACTGCTTTGCCCAATCATCCTGCCTGTGGCTTGTGAAAGCGCGCAGGTACTGCTCAATCTCCTGGTTCCAGCGCTCAGTCTGGCCGTCCGTCTGAGGGTGGAACGCTGTAGACAGCGCCGGCTCGATTCCCAGTCCTTTGTACACTGCATGCAGGTATTTCGAAGCGAACTGGGGACCTCGGTCTGATATGACCTTGGCCGGGGCCCCATGATGCTTGAACACATCGCGGATGTACAGATCTGCCGCACCTTCTGCCGTCAGGGTCTCATGACAGGCCGAGAAGTGGACCTGCTTGGTAAAGCGGTCGGCGGTAACCAGGATCGAGTCGAACCCATCAGACTTCGGCAAGCCAACGATCATATCGGTCGTGATGATCTGCCACGGGCGCTCGGGGATCTCGTTCGGCTTCAGTGGACCCTGGGGCTTAGCTGGGAATGTCTTGGTATGGTTGCACACATCGCAGGTGCTTACGTACTCATTGACAAATTTAGACATTCCTGGCCACCAGTAGTTCTGTGATATGAGCTTGAGGGTTTTGGCATAACCGCCGTGACCGGCGATCGGCGAGTCGTGGTGGATCTTGACTATATCCCGCCAGAGCTCCGCGTTCTTTGGGACATACACGCATCCGCAGAACAGCAGAAGCCTTTGTTCGGCATTCCACTCCTCAAAGCCTCATTGCAGCTGGGGTGGTCCGAGATCCTGCACCTTCTCAAGTGCCTCGGCCACCTCCCGATCCTTCTCTGAACACTCCCTGATGTGCTTCAGAAGCGACTGATCAGCTGTTACTGAGGCATGGCCGCACCTAGCAGAGGCGATGCGGAAGCTTTCAGGTTTGAGAACCACCTGATCGGTGTTATCGTCCTCATTGCCAATCTGATGGTCTGATCGACGCGACAGGGCATCAGCCTTTCCATTCGATGTTCCCGCTTTGTGTGTGATGCGGAAGTTGAAGCGAGTCAGGAACAGTGACCATCGTGCTTGACGACGCGTGAGGTGCTGGGACGTGCGCCAGTACTCGAGGTTTTTGTGATCAGTGATGATCTCGAACTGATTGGGTAACCCCTCAAGGTAATGGTGCCAATCATCCAGTGCTTCAATGATTGCGAGCATCTCCTTCTTGTAGATCTCATAGTTGCGCTGGGCAGGGTCCATAGCGTGAGATCGGAAGGTGATGGGATGCCATTTGCCATCATCCTGCTTCTGCATCAATACGCCACCCGTGGCGTAGCTGGAAGCGTCAACCTCAATGCACGTTTCTCAATTTGGGTTATACAGCACCAAAACCGGTGATAGGCGCCAAGCCCCTCTGGGCCCCGATTCACCTATTTTCGGCAGTCGCATCCCGCCCGGCACTTCGACTCAGTCTCCCACCACTTCGATTTCGCCTTCGACACTCTTCGACATCTTCGACGGTGCGCGACACTTACTCAAAGCTCGGCACGGTCGTCCCGATGCCTCACGCATAGATCCCGGGACATCTTCCGCATTCGGCGAACAATAGGGCCACTTGACGCTGTTCGGCCAAGCGCGCGCATCGCTCCAAGCCACACTGACGTAGCCGGTCTTTCCCGATTAGGTATCAAACCTCGCGGCATGCCTTCACGATGGCTACCGGTCCGAAGTGGCCATATGTTGCTCTTCATCTCCGCGTTCGGCATGACGTCACTCTACCGATGGACTTGGTATGTGCCCCTTGGTGAGGCAGCTTCTTGAGGAACAATGCAAAGCCCCTTTGTACCAGTGTGCCACTTTCGATAGTCGTAGCGTCCTGTGTAGTATAAAATCTGTCGTACTTCTCTCTAAAAATACAAGATCTGTTTCCCCCCTCGAGTTCAGAGCTCATAAGTCGAGTTCGCCCCGCGTCTAAGCCCAAAACCGCGTCACTTCGTCCCTCACTGCGTAACCTCGAAACCTCGTCCACTGCGTTTACTCGTCAATACAGTCTCGACGAACCCTTCGACTTCGACGATTGTCGAAGAAACTGCGAACCGCGTCCTAGCTAAGTCCCCCCCCTTCGAGTCGTGTCCCTTCCTTCTACGATACATCGAAGAGCTCTGCCGAGCTTCGATCGTCTCCACTAACCATCCCCAGCCTCCGAGTAGCTTCAACGACGTGTCGAAGCCACCTCGTACCTTCCCTAGCGTTCGTAGCCTTTTCCGAAGGTGTTTCTCATGTTCACTCGAACCGCGGGACACCTTGCTGCTAACTCCCCTCTCATCAGACTATAATCCGTCTCTCTAGTCCCTTTAGGTCGCACCCAGGTTAGGGGTTAGGGTTTTGTAGGTCGTATCATTTCTGGAGCCCACCGCGAGGGGATCTCAGGCAAGAATTCGCCGCTTTCGGGTTTCCGAAAACGTCTCCAGTAGTCACCCGCTCGCAAGCGCGTGAGGCTGCTAGCCGCAGCACCGCCGAAAACCTTGACAGCTCCTCTAGAACGCAATCGACTCCTTCTCCAACAATTCCCGGTGACTTCGACCGTGACGAAGAAGACGAGATAGACCAAGAACTCCAGGACGACTTCGACGAAGAACCAATCCCTTCGACCACCGAAGAACACACTTTGTCCCCCGAGCTTCTAGGCCTCACTACTTCTGACTACGACACTTCGACTCCTGAACTTTTCGAACGATCCGGTTCTTCGCCCAAACCCGAGGATCCCATCCCATCTACTTCGAATCTCGAACTCCCGACTCCGTCGTCTTTTCGCGCCCACGCTCAGCCGCCCATCGCATCCTCTTCGCGACTTTCAATCATACCTTCATCTGACCTGGCACCTCCGCCACCATTAACACCTTCGAACACAGCTTCAAACTCCAACCCCGCACCGCCCGCTCCTACGATTCCTTCGACTACTACCACGTCCTCTTCGAGCCCAGCTCCTATCAACACTACGAACATGAGCCAGAACACGAACACACCGTTGATGCCCCCGCGCGGTCATGCGACAGCACCAAGCTTCGACCCATCGGAAGTCCGTTCGCTTCGGCATTACTTCCAGGACCTCGAAGCATTGTTCACCCGGTGTCAGATTACCGACGAAGCAGCCAAGAAACAGTGGGCCGTTCAGTATCCTTCGATCGATGTCGCCGACTTATGGGAAACCATCGAGTCCTTCATCGACGTAGCCAAGAGCTACAATGACTGGAAAGCTGACGTACGAGCACTCTATCCTGGCGCCGATGATACAAGAAAGTGGTCGCTGGCAGACATGGACCAGCTCATCGGAGAACGCGCTCGTATCGGGATTCACAACGCGGCAGACCTAGGCTGCTATTACCACGACTTCATGGCCATTACGAAACATCTCATCGCACAGCACCGGCTCTCCCCTATCGAACAAAGTCGTGCATTTCTTCGAGGTTTCCAGCCAGCGTTGCTCACACGGCTCGAGACCCGACTGCATCTCAAGCACCCTGATCACTACGCCGACGACCCATACACCATGGCAGAGATTCACGCGGCGGCTACTTTCATTCTACACGGTACATCGAGCACACCTATGACAGCGGCTAACCAAGCTACCGCTTTGACATCGAGCACTTCAACAACGGTGCCTCCCGGGATGATCAAAACCGAAGACATCTCGATGATCATCGAAAGCCTGTCGAGGATGATCGCAACACTCATTCAGCCGACGACGCACGCTACGCACAACCATGCCCCCGCACCGAGACAACAAGCTGCCGTCCACGTCCATGAGAACAGCGGAGCGGAACAGACGTGCCATTACTGCGGCAATCGTGGCTGCAGGGTAGGCACCTGCGAGTTCGCGGAGATCAACATCCGGGACGGCAAGTGCAAGCGTAACACCGAAGGAAAGATCGTCCTTCCGAACGGAAGTTTCTGCCCCCGCACTATCCCTGGTCTCACAATATGAGATCGAATCTACGAATGGCATAGAAGAAATCTCGCAGCACCAGCCGCTCCGACGATGCTCTTCGAGATCGACGATCGCTCGACTATGCAAACCTTCATGCTCAACACCAGCAGCAGGATCGAGGCGCTCGAGTGAGAACTCCTTCAGCTTCGGAAGCGAAGGGAGGTCTTCGACGGCGTCGAGATTCTACAGCGGAAGAAGCCTACGACGCCAGCCGTCCCGAAGAGCGCGGAAGCCTCGGGATCTGGTACATCGAAGGGAGTGGCGGCACCCTCGAGCACTTCGACAAGCACAGCCCCGCCTCCAACGATACCAGCAGCAGCACCCGCGCCATCTTCCTCCTCGCCTACGCAATCCACGTCTCATCCTATTACTACGTCCGCTCCCCCAGCATCACCAGTACACCCCTTCGCAAACGCTCGCGATGCAACCTACGCCCCACCGAACGTTCGAAACTTCGCAACTCCGCCAAAGCCCTCGAACGACAAGGGCAAGGAACCAGCGTACAAGACCATTGTCCCCGTTATCCAGCCGAAGCTGGCCGAAGAAATCTTCCAGCGTTCGATGAAGTCGCAGTTCGTCACGCTGACCCCAGAAGAGTTGCTGTCAATCGCGCCCGACGTTCGAAACAAGTACCGCGATGCTGTCACCCCTAAGCGAGTCTCGACGGAACCCGTTGCGTCGGCCCACATCGTAGAAATCGGCGCCGACGAGGTCACAGCCGTCAACCAGCTCTCGTGTTCGGGAGCAACGTTGGAACCCGGTGCTACAATCGTCCCCGACCCCTATGAAACATACCTCAAGCACATCCCTCACGGCGAGCACCCCGCAGAATTCACCGTCGCACGCGACTCGAACGCAATTCGTTCGATCATCGCGTTGGTCGACAACAAAGAGCAGATTGAATGCATCGTCGACCCCAGTTCGCAGATCGTCGCCATGTCGGAAGAGGTCTGTCTGGGCCTCAACCTCCTCTTCGATCCTACTATCCAGCTGAACATGCAATCAGCGAACGGCGAGGTGGACCGATCGTTGGGACTCATTCGAAATGTTCCCTTCCGCATCGGTGAGATCGTTTTGTATCTCCAGGCTCATGTCATTTGAAATGCAGCGTACGACATCCTCCTCGGCCAACCCTTCAACGTGCTCACGCAAAGCGTCGTCAAGAACTTCGCCGACGAAAACCAGACCATTACGATCCTCTGTCCGAACACCAGCGAAACCGTCATGATTCCGACGTACGCGCGAGGAAGATCGCGAAGCCGGCAGCATCCTCTCGGGTGTCGCAAATCGCATTTTCTCGCTTCGAGGAATTGATTCCCCATGATCAAGGAGAAGCCGCGCTAGTCATCGACTATGATGGGGTAAACCTGAGTATTTCCTTCGTCTCTCCTATTGATTCCTCGATTCCGAACGCTGTTTCGTTGCTGTACCTCTCCGCATGCACCTCCATTTCTTCATATTTGCAGACTCTTTACGCTTCGGACACTACAGCTTCTAATGCCGCTCCGTCGAACGCTTCGACGTGGGCTTCGACTCTTCTGTTTTCAGCTCCGTTCGCTTCGACTCCGCCAGCTCCCGTTCCGACGAAGTCCATCTCGCAGCTTTCCAACTCAATTCTTCCCTTTCCTTCGACGACATCGACTTCTACCCCTTCAACGCACAAGATCCTCGCCGCGACAAAGAAGAAATACAAGCCTGTCGCTCTCAAAACCCGACCCATCCTTGGTGCCATCCCCGAACAATTTCGCATACTTCGAGACATCAAGGGCGACCCTCTCTCCATCATGCCTAAGCTTTCGACCGACCCCCCGCCATTCAAACCTACCGGTCGGTACACCCTCGAACGCTTCGAAGCAACCGAGAAGCTTCACGACGGCGACTTCCTACTTCCCGAAGAATGTCGAGTCCTCCACCACTTCATGTGCCTGCACAACGAAGCCTTCGCCTGGACCGACGACGAGCGCGGATGCTTCAAGCCTGGGTACTTCCCCCCCATCGATTTCCCCGTTGTTCCTCACACACCCTGGGTGCAGAAGAATATTCCCATTCCACCCGGGATCTACAACGAAGTCTGCGCGGTGATCAAGTGAAAGATCGCCGCCGGAGTCTACGAGCCATCGAACTCGTTGTATCGATCACGGTGGTTCTGTGTCGTCAAGAAGGACGGTAAATCTCTTCGACTAGTCCATTCCCTCGAGCCCCTCAATGCAGTTACGATCCAACATTCCGGTGTACCGCCGACGCCCGAATACCTCACAGAACAATTCGGAGGAAGACCATGCGGCGGCATGCTCGACCTCTACGTTGGCTACGACGAACGACTCATCGCTGAATCTTCGAGAGATCTAACGACGTTCCAGACACCCTACGGAGCCATGCGCCTGGTCACACTCCCGATGGGTTGGACAAACTCAGTCCCGATCTTCCACGACGACGTCACCTACATCCTCCAGCCCGAGATCCCGCACGTTACGGTGCCCTACGTCGACGACGTTCCCGTCAAGGGTCCCGAATCCGACTACGACGACGAGCGGCTCCCTTTGAACCGCGGCATTCGACGCTTCGTATGGGAGCATTTCGAGAACATGAACCACGTAGTCACTCAAATGCGCTACGCCGGAGGTACCTTCTCTGGAGTCAAGAGCGTCCTCATCGCTCGAGAAATCATGGTGGTAGGACATCGCTGCACTCCTCAAGGACGCCTCCCCGACGACTCTCGCGTCGCAGCGATACGCAACTGGGGTCCCTGCGCTACTCTATCCGACGTTCGAGCGTTCCTCGGAACCATCGGCGTCGTTCGAATCTTCATCCGTAATTTCGCTCACCGCGCCGACGCACTCGTACACCTCACGAGGAAGGACGTCGAGTTCGAGTTCGGTCCGGAGCAAATCGCGGCGCAGGAAGACCTCAAGGACGCGCTACTCTCATCCCCCGCCCTCCGAGCCATTAATTATGATTCCCCCTCCCCCGTCATTCTCGCAGTCGACACGTCGTTCATCGCTGTCGGATACCACCTCTGCCAGTGCGACGAGGCCAACACGCGAGTCCGTTACTACAGCAGGTTCGGCTCGATCACGCTCAACGATCGCGAACGAAGGTTTTCACAGCCGAAGCTCGAGATCTACGGTCTATTCCGCGCGCTACGATCCCTTCGACTATACCTGATCGGCGTTCGGAACCTCATCGTCGAAGTCAATGCTCGGTACATCAAGGGTATGCTGAAGAATCCAGACATAGCCCCAAGTGCGAGTATCAACCGGTGGATTGTCTCGATTCTCACATTTCATTTCATGCTCGTCCACGTCCCCGGTACAATGCACGGCCCCGACGGTCTCTCTCGACGCACAGCTCAACCCGGTGATGTCATCGAAGACGAGGTCGACGAAGAGTTCGACGATTGGATCGACCAGATGCATTCTTTCGTTCACCAGATTCAGCCCCTCCCATCCGTCCCTTCGCTGGCCATCTTCACCAATGACAGAGCCGAGGACGGCTCAGATTTCAATAGGGAGGAGGATAGCTACGAGCTAGTGCCTCGATTGGAGCAAGCGCAACTCGCCGACGCGAAGCTCGACGACGTGCTCGAATTTCATCGAACGTTAGCAAAGCCCGACGGCATCTCCGAAAGTGTTTACGAAGGATTCATCAAGTACTGCATGCAATTCTTCCTCGACAACGACACCCTCTGGTGCAAGGACAGACACGGAGCACACAAGCTAGTCGTCAAGCCCGGCGATTGCCTTCGAATACTTCGAGAATGCCACGACCGCACCGTGCATCGAGGAATTTATGCAACCCGAGCCTTCATCAATGAGCGATTCTGGTGGCCGTTCCACTATGCCGACATCACTTGGTTCGTTCGATCGTGCCATATCTGCCAGTCTCGACAAGTGCGTCAAATCCTCATTCCTCCGACCGTCGCAGTACCAGCCCCCATCTTCGCGAAAATTCACATTGACACAATGCACATGCCTGCCTCGGGCGGATACAAGTACTTGGTCCAAGGTAGATGCTCGCTCACGACTTACCCCGAGTTTCGAATGCTTCGAAAAGAGACAGCAAAAGCCCTCGCCGACTGGATCTTCGAAGACATCCTCTGTCGATGGGGCGCGCTCAGCGAGATCGTCACCGACAACGGTACGGCGTTCATCAAGGCGGCCGATTACCTTTCGAAGAAGTACCACATCAACCATATTCGATTTAGTGGGTACAATTCGAGGGCAAACGGTCTCGTCGAATGTCCGCACTTCAGCACACAACAAGCCTTGTTTAAGACAGCCGACGGAGATGAGAAGAAATGGTCACAAGCTGCGTATTTTGTATTTTGGTCCGAGCGCATCACGACTTGACGACGCATGGGCTGCTCACCCTACTTTGCTGTTACGGGCACCCATCCACTCATTCCTCTTGACATCGTCGAAGCTACGTACCTGCAACCACCACCAACTTCGATTCTTTCGACAACCGATCTCATCGCCTGTAGGGCCATTGCACTCCAGAAACGCGTTGAGCAAGTCACCGAACTCCACTCGAAGGTCTACGAAGCACGTCGGACTGCAGCAATTCGCTTCGAGAAAGAGCATGAGCACTCAATCCAGGATTTTGACTTCAAGCGCGGAGCCCTAGTGCTCATACGCAACACGAAGATCGAGAAGTCCCTCAACCGCAAGATGCGCCCGCAATATCTAGGCCCCCTCATTGTTGTCTCGCGCAACAAGGGTGGCGCGTACATCGTGTGCGAACTCGACGGTACAGTCCTCGATCGACCCATCGCAGCATTCCGCGTCATTCCGTATTTCGCGCGCAAATCCATTCCAATTCCCGAAGATCTCGAAGATGTCTCGACTGAGCGCCTTCGAGAACTCGAACTATCGAATTCTCTAGGCGACGACGATGATGATGAAATCGAAGAAGCCGAAGAACGCGACGAATAGAGGTTCTTCCCTTTTGTTACTGGTACAACACGATACGTACTTTCTTCTCTCCATTCCTGCTCTCACGTTACGCTATATGCTTGATTTTCTCCTACGTTCTAGACCATCCCTTGTACGAATATCTTCGATTCAACTCGATAGTCGCAATATCGTTCGACGTTCTACGAACGCTTCGATTTGACCGTTGCGTGGAGGCTCACCTTAGACGAGTCCTCCTAGGCTGTGATGACAAACTGAGCCTATATTTTCATTAAGTCCATTTTCCCTCACTACGAACATTTCTATTTCCCCTTCTACGTCCTTCGATCATATTACAACTTACTTCGAAAACGCTTATTTTTCATTTCCTTTTCTTAGTTCCCGCCAGGTTTCGTCTAGGCCAAGGGCCACATTTTCGATTCAACCATCAATGCAATATTCTACGACATGAAGACAACTACACTACAATACAACCCGCGCCATCGCCTAGTCATCGTCGACAGCCCCGCGCACAAACCCGATTCCTCCCTTTGCAAGCGCGGCCTTCTCCATCTTCTGGAGGTCGAGGTCCATGTCATGGAGGAGCGCTCGACGGCGAGCGATGTGAGCGCGCTCCTCGCGGATGACGCGGATGATCCCCCGAGACTCGTCGTCGAGGTCGAGCGCATCGAGGTCGTCCTGCTCGAGCCCAAGGCGGCTGGCCCCATCGAGAGGCAGTCATAGAAGGGGGCGCGGAGGCTCGTCGACGCGATGCTTCTTTGAGCCACTCGAATCCGCGACCAAAGGCCCAGGGGAAGTCGGCCGAACTACTAAGTCGTCAGCGAAAGCCCAGGACAAGAAGAAACAACTTACTGCACTTCTTTGTGGTAGATCCCCCACCGCGCGTTTTCTTGGTCTTCCCAAGCACAGACACTTTGTCGAAGTAGCACCCCTGCTGGAACTGCGCGCACCTCTCACAGGTGGTGGCGTTTTCGACCCACACGCACTCGACAGGGGCCGAACGGTAGCCGGCGCAACAATCGCACTATCAAGGCGTTAGCATCGAACCGCTTCGACGGAGGCTCGAGCTTACCTTCTGTCCCGACAGGCGCTTCTCAAGCGCAACGGCGGCCATATCGACCTCCGTCATTGCGAAAGGACGCTCGAGCGTCTGAGGAGTCTTCTACGAAAGAGAGGTTAGTCATTGAACGACGATAGAAGAAAACACTTACGACCGAGGGGTCGTCCGACAACTCGGTGACCTCGTCATCGACTCTCGCGCGCCCTTTACCCTTGTCGACACCGGCAGGCGCAGGGTCGGGAAGGAGTCCTTCGGCAGCCGCGATCCTCGCCAACTCTTCGTCGGCAGCCTCTTGTGCGCAACACTCGTCTTCGGCCTGCTTCCGACGGTCCTCTTCGTCCTTTCGACGCCGTTCGTCTTCGAGGCGACATTCCTCGGCAGCCTTCGCACGCTTCGCGGCCTCTTCAACGCGTCGTGCTTCCTCTTCGGCGAGGCGCTTCTGCTCTTCGAGGCGTCGTTCGACCTTGGCATCGATGGCGGTCGCGAGCTCGGGCCAGTCCCCGCGCGCCCACTCGACCCACGACTCCGGCGCCCACTCAGCGAGCTGTTTGACGGCGGCGGCGACGCACAACTCCGTCTCCTCGTCGCGGATGGCGCCCAGGGCCTTGCGATAGGCGAGCTGTTCGAAAACAAAGGGTTAGCTGGGTTATGCAGGTTAACAAACGACTCACGACGAGTGGCGACAAGTCTTGCGCCCACTCTTCGACCACGTCGAGCGCGGCGTCGGCAGTCGGCAGAGCCTCAAGGACCGCGAGCAGGGAGGCGAGGTGGCAGTTGACGAGCGAAGGCGTCGAGGCAGGGGTGACGGAGTGAGCAGACATCGTGGAAGCAGCGAGTAAACGAGAGAGGGCGACGAGGTAGCAACGACGGAACGATGGGATGGGGAAAATGAGGCTAAGTCTACCTTGCTTATAACCCCTTTCCGACCAGCGTGTAGCGCCGGCCACGTGGCGTTCGAAACCGACGCGGGTTGTCATGCCGCTTCGATCCGTTCACGACCATCGCGCTTCTCGCATCACATGGAGGACCGAGGGTGGTCCAAATTTCAATAGGGAGGAGATGATAGGCGCCAAGCCCCTCTGGGCCCCGATTCACCTATTTTCGGCAGTCGCATCCCGCCCGGCACTTCGACTCAGTCTCCCACCACTTCGATTTCGCCTTCGACACTCTTCGACATCTTCGACGGTGCACGACACTTACTCAAAGCTCGGCACGGTCGTCCCGATGCCTCACGCATAGATCCCGGGACATCTTCCGCATTCGGCGAACAATAGGGCCACTTGACGCTGTTCGGCCAAGCGCGCGCATCGCTCCAAGCCACACTGACGTAGCCGGTCTTTCCCGATTAGGTATCAAACCTCGCGGCATGCCTTCACGACGGCTACTGGTCCGAAGTGGCCATATGTTGCTCTTCATCTCCGCGTTCGGCATGACGTCACTCTACCGATGGACTTGGTATGTGCCCCTTGGTGAGGCAGCTTCTTGAGGAACAATGCAAAGCCCCTTTGTACCAGTGTGCCACTTTCGATAGTCGTAGCGTCCTGTGTAGTATAAAATCTGTCGTACTTCTCTCTAAAAATACAAGATCTGTTTCCCCCCTCGAGTTCAGAGCTCATAAGTCGAGTTCGCCCCGCGTCTAAGCCCAAAACCGCGTCACTTCGTCCCTCACTGCGTAACCTCGAAACCTCGTCCACTGCGTTTACTCGTCAATACAGTCTCGACGAACCCTTCGACTTCGACGATTGTCGAAGAAACTGCGAACCGCGTCCTAGCTAAGTCCCCCCCCTTCGAGTCGTGTCCCTTCCTTCTACGATACATTGAAGAGCTCTGCCGAGCTTCGATCGTCTCCACTAACCACCCCCAGCCTCCGAGTAGCTTCAACGACGTGTCGAAGCCACCTCGTACCTTCCCTAGCGTTCGTAGCCTTTTCCGAAGGCGTTTCTCGTGTTCACTCGAACCGCGGGACACCTTGCTGCTAACTCCCCTCTCATCAGACTATAATCCGTCTCTCTAGTCCCTTTAGGTCGCACCCAGGTTAGGGGTTAGGGTTTCGTAGGTCGTATCACCGGTGTGGTAGCGAAGAGGCGCTTGAGCTCGTTGAAGACGTGCTGCTCTTCCTCACCCCAATGCCATGGGTCATTCCCTGTGAGTCGGTCGAGTGGTCACAAGATCTTGGTGAAGTCTAATGAAGTGGCAGTAAAAGTTGGAGAACCCCCGGAACTTCTGAACATCTTTTTTGTTCAGGGGTACCAGCCACTCATTAATTCCTTTTAGCTTCGCGGAATCCATCGCCACCTCATCGCCGCCAAACACATAGCTGACATAGTTGACCTTGGGAACGTCCCACTCACATTTCTCAGGCTTCAGGAATAGATTGTTATCCTGAAGGCGGTGCAGAACCTCGTGTGTGACTTTCTCATGCTCCTCTTTGTTGGTGGAGAAGATGAGTATATTGTCCAGGTACACGATGATCTTGCCGCCAACGATGAGATCATGGAAGATCTCATTCATCATGGCCTGGAAGGTTGTAGGGGAATTGGTGAGGCCAAAAAACATCACCAGGGGTTCATACAGCCCCCGGTTAGTCACAAAGGCTGCCTTCCACTCATCACCAGCTTTGATCCAGACATTGTTATATCCCCATCTGACATCAAACTTGGTAAAGAGCGTGGTGCCACGGAGCTTGTCTACCATTTCAGCGATCAGCGGCAGCGGGTAACGATTCTTGATGGTGATCGCGTTCAACCGGCGGTAGTCCTGCACGGGCCGAAGCGTCCCTTCCTTCTTTTTGATGAAGAAGAAGGGGGACGAGATTGGTGACTTCGATTCTTGTATATACCCTTTAGCCAGTTGCTCCTTTAGGAACTTATCAAGCTCCTCTTGCTCATTGTTCGACAGGGGGTACACCTTCGAGTGGAATGTTGAGTAGCCAGGCACGAGTTCGATTGCATGATCGTACGGCTTCCTTTCTGGTAACCATTCTGATGCTTCTTTGGAGAAGACATTCAGGAACTCGGGGTACTGTTTAGATACTGACTCCTCGGCAGTCTTAACGACCTTCTTCTTGATCTCCTCCTCAGCGAACAGCTGGGAGTACGTATGCCCTGCTGCGATGAACAGTTGAGGAGCACCGGAGAGCGTGATGCCTTGCTCCCAGGCTTCGATCAAATCAGCCTCATCCCACTCTATTTCCACTGGATCTTCTTCAGGTTCGAAGTCCGGGAGTACCTTACTCCGGCAGGCGCCTATTACCAACTGTTTGGACTTCGGCAAACGCCTGCGCGCCGTGGGCCTGACCCCCATATCATGCGCAGTTGCTGCTTGCTCCATCCGGCCAGTCCTCCTGGCACTGCACGTTTTAGGGCATCGTGATAGTTTGAGGGAGCCTTTCTCCCAGTCGATCTCAGGGTTGTGCTCGCGTAGCCAATCCAACCCAACGATCACATCCTCTGAACCAATGTCCGTGACCATAAACACCGTTTTCTCGACGTGTTCTCCTATCTGCATCTGTAGCACTGCTACTTCCGAGATGCTTCCATCTTTGTTCAGGGTGCTGTCAATATTGTATAGCGGAATCGGCTCCTTCAATTTCCGCGTCTGCACCTTATTTCCTTCAATGAATCGCTTGTTGATGAACTTCATGGTGGCTCCGCTGTCCACCATAGCGATTATGTCCTTGTGCCGTCTTTTTCCTTGGAGGCACACCGGGATGTGGAAATGCTGGGACCCGTGGTCCAACTCGTACACATTTGCGGTCGCCAATACATTGTACAGATTATTACTACGTGGCCCGACGCGTGCGGCACGAAGTGCGGACCGGATCAAAAAGACTCTTCTTTGAGTGCTCAATAGTGCTCCAACTCCTCGCGCATCGACTTCATCTGTGCTATTAAGTCCACCAGCTCAGAACCTTCCGATTTCACTGAAGCGGTGCTTGTACTCGCCGAGGATGAAGTGACGGGGGTGCTTGTCGCCGCCTGGGTGGAACCCGAGGCAACCGTAGCCCGCGCGTCGGCGCGTTTTGTGTAAGGTTTGTCCTTACAGTTGGGGCACTCAAAACGTCGGTACCCTTGCTTCCCACAGCCGAAGCAACTAACGGGGAAGTCACCTTTTCCAATGGCTGCACTGATGCTGGCCGAAGCTCCTTGTGGTCGAGGTGCACCACCACATGCCCCTCCACGTCCTCGTCCTCAAGCCAAGAAGAAGTTGTTCAGCTCGGGCTGACGGGCCTGGCTGACGTCGAGGATTTGCTCGACCTCAGTGGTGCGCTTGTCAGTGGCTTGCCACGTGGTGAAGGTTTCGAGCTCGATCTTGTGATAGACGTGGGAGGGGATGCCGCTCAGGTACTTGTCGCGTAGTTCCAGGTTCCCATACCCGGAACGGTCCACCGGACCCTTGAACAGCGCAGAGAATTCTGCGGTGGTGCACTTCTCACGCATGGTTTTGTCGGCACAGAGCTGGGTGAGCTCCACCTGTGCCACGGCAGCGTCGTCGAGATTGCCAAAACGGGCCTTGAATGCCTTAAGGAAGGCTGCTTCGTCGGCGAAGGGGGTCGTTGCTCCCTGGATCCCGATTTGGACGGTGATACGACCTACGAAACCCTAACCCCTAACCTGGGTGCGACCTAAAGGGACTAGAGCGATGGATTATAGTCTTAGTGAGAGGGGAGTTAGCAGCAAGGTGTCCCGCGGTTTGAGTGAACACGAGAAACGCCCTTGGAAAAGGCTATGAACAATGGGGAAGGTATGAGGTGGCTTCAACACGTCGTCAAAGTTGCTCGGAGGCTGTGGGTGGTTAACGGAGACGATTGAAGCTCGGCAGAGCTCTTCGATGTATCATAAAAGGAAGGGATACGACTCGACAGGGTGGACTTAGCTAGGGCGCAGTTCGCAGTTTCTTCGACAATAGTCGAAGTCGAAGGGTTCATTGAGACGGTGTCGACGAGTAAATGCAGTGGGCGAGGTTTCGAGGTTATGCAGCGAGGGATGAAGTGACGCAGTTGAAGGCTTAGACGCAGGGCGAACTCGACTTATGAGCTCTGAACTCAAGGGGGGAACCAGATCTTGTATTTTTGGAGAGAAGTACGACAGAATTTATACTATGCATAGGACGCTACGACTATCAAAAGTGGCACAAGTACAAGGGGCTTTGCATTGTTCCGCACAAATCTGCCTCTCCGAGGGGCACGCATCAAGTCCATCGGTAGAGTGACATCATGCCGGACGCGGAGATAAAGAGCAACATATGGCCACTTCGGACCAGTATCCGTCGTTGAAGGCATGCCGCGAGGTTTGATACCTAATCGGGAAAGACCGGCTATGTCGGTGTGGCATGGAGCAATGCGCGCGCTTGGCCGAGCGGCGTCAAGTGGCCCTATTGTTCACCGAATGCGGAAGATGTCCCGGGATCTACGCGTGAGGCATCGGGACGACCGTGCCGAGCTTTGAGTAAGCGTCGCGCACCGTCGAAGATGTCGAAGAGCGTCGAAGGCGAAATCGAAGTGTTGGGAGACTGAGTCGAAGTGCCAGGCGGGATGCGACTGCCGAAAAGAGGTGTATCGGGGCCCAGAGGGGCTTGGCGCCTATCAACGGAGGCAAGCTGGGAGAAGATGGGGGTGGCCCAAGCTCGTGCATCACCATTGAGAAGACTGAGGGCAACCTGAATCTTCAGCTCGAGGGAAGAGAGGGCCATGTTGATCATCCAGTAGATGAGCAACTGCGAGATGAAGCAGTTGCATTCGACCACAGACTTCCCATCATATTGGAGTGGGAGGAGGAGCTTCAATGTCTCCTTGTCAGGGGCGGCAGTGGAAGAGGACATTATCGGCAACAAGGGGGACGAAGGACTGCCCGCGGATGGAGGCGACTGTTGTGACTGTCCACTGGGTGAACTTCGCGAGGAATGAGTGCTTGAGCGGCCTCGCGGCGGCGACGGCGGTGAAGACGATTGAGGAAGCCCGGAGGCGGGGTGACGTAGGACAGGGACTGAAGTCGAGGCGGTGACCGCTAACGACGAGCTGGCCCAAGAATGCAGTGGAGTGTCACAGGGCTCAGTCTTGGGAGGCCTTTCCAACCGCGGCCCCAAAGAGGGCTGGGGGATCGCTTGAGGGGTCGCTGTAGGCTGTGCAACTGCCTCAGTTCCTTGAGGGAGATGGGGATCTCCTCGTGCTTGACCTGTACTGGCGACAGGTTGGGGGATGCAAGTGCCTGACGAGGCAGGTTGGGATGGGACGGGAGTGACGTGGCGAGATGTGGATCTCAAGGTGCCAGTGTATCGGAGTGCAGGGCCGCTGGGGTGTTGAACTCATCGGATTGGCACATAGCGCCCTTCGTCGGCAGTGATGGACCATGGAGTGCGATTAGGGCACAGTTGTCAATCACAGATGAAGAAAGGGGCTCTGTCTCCGTTGCTTTCTGGGTCGTCGCAAGAGACGTCAACCTGCTCCTGGGTGTCAAAGGTGTGCTCAAGTCGAGAGCAGTCGAAGAATTTGTCAGCCACGGTGATGGGGGGAGGAAGGGGAGGTGCGCGTGCTACAAAAGGCCGTGCTAGCTAGCTTACACCTACGGCGCCCAAGAAGACACTAAGGTTCACAGTTCATGTGGGGCCCAGTACTGCTTTTGGCTAGTATGCAGCAGGAATCTAAGCCACGCGTCCATGAGGACAAGTATCGCCCACTGAAGTGCAGATACCAAAGAGTTCGTCCCTTAAGTGGTGGCGATGTATTGTAGGCTATCTACATATCATAGGGTATAGTAAAGGTGCGCACCACCCGACCTATGGGAGAGGAAAGGTGAGTGTTTTGTGTTGGAACGCCGGCAGCGTTGGGGAGTTTTGACCTAATGTCGCGACTTAGGGTCGAGCGACAGGAGAAAACCAAAAGCTGGGGGCGTTCGACTTATCTTACCAAAGCAATGGTGAGCTAGGCTCCAACCTAAGGCTAGGGACAAGAATGTATTAGTTAGTAAGTAAAGGAAGTAAGTACAGGAGAGCTTACTGACCTAGGGACAAGAGGTCAAAACTGAGGTCCCTAGGGCAGCAGAGGCCGGCTTAGATACATGGGGAGATAAGGGCAGGCTGTGTGTGCTGGTCTGTGCACAGCTGGTCCGTGCACAGCATGCTGACGCGGCCCCGGGGGCCAGTGAGTCAGAGCGGCTGTGTCACGAGTTGGTACGGCGTCTAGCCGTTTTTTAATTTTTTTCCTTTTCGCGGGCTCGAACCCGCGACCTCTGTACCACCTGCCTGATATGGACGCGTCGTTATCTACTGTACGATTAGATTAGATGGGCGGCAGTGCGCGGCACAGCTCGGGCTCCGCTGACACAGCCGCTCTAACTCACCGGCCCCCGGGGCCGCGTCGGCATGCTGCGCACGGACCAACGTGCACAGCCTGCCCTAATCTCCCCAT